CTTCAATTAGAAAATCCATGTTCAGAAGGGAAATCAGACATTCAGAATTGGAGATTCCTCAACACGGCAGGGTTCAAAATATGTATTATTTTTACATGCCACAGCTGAATTGATATTCTTACATAAATTAACCAGGTTTATTAGAGAAGCCAGATACCCTGGGCTTTCTCTCCTCTGTTCCAAATCTTCCAGAACTGGAATTAACAATATCAGCTACTTTAAGCAAAACTCTAGTTGAAGTGCCCTACTTCGAATTTTGTTCTTATAAGGACCAGGGGAAGGAGTAAATCCTCAGGGCAAAATTGATGTTAATAGCTAATTGAATCATTCTGCAAACACTGGCTCTTAAGGGAGAAAGCTGCTTGTTTACTACTCCCAATAGTTCATAAATATCCCTTTGCCCAGTGCAAAAGGCTGGTTAAATTGTCTTCCAGTACATTCCAGCCTTCTACTCAGAATACTGCACTGTCAAAACATGTTTACTCTCCAAGTCAAAAATTTTTAGAAAATTATTTTTCCGGGCAGTGCTTGCTTACATACATCGGTTGAAAACATAAAACTCTGTGTATTGTGCACTATTCACCTTCTGGATCTATCTCCTTGGTATAATATGATTGATGGGCCAAGCGCTGTATGCTTTTGTTCCAAAAACAACTATAAATGTAGGGTGCCAGACAGTGTCCACTTCAAGGCCTTATTTTACATTCCTCTTCGCCTATAAAGAAAGATCAATCTTAATAAGTCAATATTAGAATTCACATCACTGATCATCAGTTGCCAGACACAAGTTTTGGAGACACTTTTGAAATCCCTGTAGTTGGATTTCAAATGGGTTTTCCCTGAAGAATGCTACATAAATGTCACCTGGATGAAATATGCTGGTTTAATATGAGAAATAAAATATGTTACACATCCTAAGATTCTGGCTCCCTTTTACATTGGAAAAGATAATTTCAGGCAGGATTCCTACTATTCTCATGCAAGGAATAATGAGCTTCTCCACCAGATCACAACCTGCTACTTAGCAGTTTCTTTGGTTAAGTTTTCTTATGACTTAATGTGAGCACATACATGTATGAAAAGAATGCTTACAACTGGCAATTGTATTCTAGACAGCTAGAACATAAGTAAAACCATGTACTAACAGGGCCATGTGCTTTTCTAGTGCCATGTATGATTTGTAGAAAAGACACCTGACAAACCAAGATGTAAACATATCCTGGGATTGGTATCATATATTCAGTTTTCAAATTCAAATTGATATTTTTCTTAACAAAATATTGTAAGGCACTGATAAAGCTCATGATTCCTCTTTTGCCACAAGTATGGAAGTTAGCCTACAAGTTACAAAAATCATTTACAGGAGAATACAAGGGTTCATCTAACCTAATACAGGCTGTGTGTGTAAATTACTTAAATTACACTTTTAAAATGTACCTGTTTGACCTGACTTACATACATATTTGACTTAAGAACAACCTACAGAACCTATCTTGTTCATAACATGGGGACTGTCTGTTTGATGGTTCTCAGGTCAAAGACCTTCATATTATTGGGTACTACCCATGAATTAAGGCTTCCCATAATCGTCTGGAATCGGTGTAAACTTGTTTATTTTTATATTCATGCAGATGCAGAAAAGTAATTCAAAATTGGGCATTTCTTTTGTGGAAAGAATTGTAGCTTAACAAAATTTCCCATGTTGCCGAATAGTGCATGTTGTTCATAATTAGATCTGCACGTTCCTGAAGTGCAATCGCCATCAGCCCTTGCCAGCCAAGCCAATAGTAAAGAAATATCCTGTGCAAGGATATTCTCCCTAATTGATATGCAAATAAGCTGTAAACAGCTAGCAAACTATGTTTTGTTTTGCAGCCTCTATAGATCTGAATGGCACTGCCATTGTTGTTTGACATAATGCTCAGCAGCTCTAGCCAGCACAGGCAGAGATGAAGCGTGATAGGAATCATAGTACAGTATCTGGAGAATCACTTCTTTCTCATTCCTGCTATTAGTGCTTAAGGTGCAAAAAAGAAGTGATAGTAACTCCCACATAATGGCTTATTTCTAGCTCATGAGTTCTATAGCAGCTTGTTCTGTAGCAGAAACACCAAGTAAAGAAGCTGATATAAAACAAAAATGGGCGACTCACAGCCTTGGTGAAGCAGTCCATCAGCATCTCAAATTCCTTAGCACACACATTCTTTTTCAGGTCCCCTGGACCTGCTGCATGAGCGGCAACACACTTGCCATAAGCCGAGGCCTGCAAAGACCAACGTCAGTCAGATGTAGACAGAAGCAGACCACTCTGTTTCTTCCATTGTAAGACACAGCTCTAAAAATTGGGTGCATCTTAGAATTACATGTGCTTTTCTTATATATGAATAAAGCTTTTTTTTCTTTTGGTAGTAGTGTACATCTTACAATTACTGGCATCTTAAAATTGAAGAAATACGAGTATTTTCTGTTCATGCTCAGAGTGAAGGTGCTGGGATCTCACCTTGAGCTGTATCGTTTGGGATGCCACCATCTACTCATTCCATCTCCTCCATTGGAGGAAGGTCTGCATGATGCAAAGCAATGATAACCATACCCCAATATGAGATACACCACAGTTCTAGGACAAGTCCTAAAACTGTATGGTGAGACTTTGGAAAAGGAGATGAAGGAAGAATACACATGAAGCTCCAGGAAACTTCCTGGGCTGCATTGCAAGCATGGTTGATGGGAATGAGAGAGGGGGCCTTCTCTGTGTTCCCCTGCCCGCCCGCCTGCCCGCCCGCCTCTGGAACTCCCTCCCTAAAGATATTAAAACAGCACCCTCTTTAACCTTCTTTTAAAAACAAATAAAAACTTTCATATGTGTGCAGGTGTTTAAAGATGAGGAGGCTTAGTATGTTATATGGACTGCTGACTGCTGGCAGTATTTAATTTTATAATTTACAATGTTAAATTTTAAACTTATTTCATTGGTCTGACTCTTCCGTTTTCTTGATAGATTACTATGGAACTTTAAATGTTACATGTTAATTTTTATAATGAGTCTTATTTTTGGTTTAAATGTGGATCTGTGAAGGTTTTGGGTGGATTGGTTATTTATGTGTTTTTCCTTTTGTACAGCATTGAATGTTGGTCGACTTTGTTGTTCACCACCCCGAGACCCTTCGGGAAGATAGAACAGTATAGAAATAAAGTTTTATCTATTATTTATTTATTAATGCAGATTGACACCACTTGAACAGAATTAACACGGAATGATACCACTTGAACAGTCATGGCTCATGCTATGGAATCCTGTGGTAGTAGTTTGATGAGGCAGATAAAGCCAAAGCCCGTTATAGAACAGGCCTGGGCAAACTTTGGTCCTCCAGGTATTTTGGACTCCAACTCCTACAGTTCCCAACAGCCTCAGGCCTAAAGCTGTTAGGAATTGGAGTTGGAGCCCAAAACACCTGGAGGGCCAAAGTTTGCCCATGTCTATTATTGAAGGGCAACACCCGTGATTCATGGCAGTTCAAGTTGTGTCAAACTGCATTCATTCGACAATGTAGATACTCTCTGGGTGACAAACTATCACCCAGTTCCCAATGGCTCACATATTCCTGCCGTGATAGATGTTACGTTGCAGTGGGGGAGAGCCAGCATAGTATTAACTTAATAATAGTAGTAGTGATAGCGATAATAACAAAATAGCTGGTCTGAGCATTGGGTTATGATTCCACAGGCCAGGGTTCACATCCTGCCCTAGCCATGGGCACCCATTGGGCCTCCTTGGGCCAATCACTCTCCTGTAGCCACAGAGGAAGGTAAAGATTAATCTGAGTTGCTGCGAGTTTTCCCGGCTGTCTGGCCATGTTCTTAAAGTGTTTCACCCATATCTATGGCAGGCATCCTTAGAGGTTGTGAGGTCTGTTGGAAACCAGGCAAGTGAGGTTTATATATCTGTGGAAGGTCCAAGGTGGGAGAAAGAACTCTTGTCTGCTGGAGGCAAGTGTGAATGGTGCAACTGGCCACCTTGATGAGCACTGAATAGCGTGCAGCTTCAAAGCCTGGCTGCTTCCTGCCTGGAGGAATCCTTTGCTGGGAGGTATTAGCTGGCCCTGATTGTTTCTTGTCTGGAAGCAAGAGTTCTTTCTCCCACCCTGGACATTCCACGGATATATAAACCCCACTTGCCTAGTTTCCAACAGACCTCACAACCTCTGAGGATGCCTGCCATAGATGTGGGTGAAACGTCAGGAGAGAATGCTTCTGGATCATGGCCACACAACCCGGAAAACTCACAACAACCCAGTGATTCCAGCCATGAAAGCCTTCGACAAGACTAATCTCTTAGGCCAATCTTGCCAAGTAAGCCTATGAGTCGTAACCGGCCGGCAGTGGCTCAACGACGGCGGGGTGGTGGTTGCGGCCGGGTGAGGCATCCAAGGCGATGCGAGCCCGACCTGCTTCCTGGGCCTGGTGAAGGTTTGCTCTGAAGGCGGCGGCGGCGGCCCCTTCGGGCCTCCGTACCTGCTCCCCACAGCTCGCCAGCAGCGCAGGGAAACGCTGCATCTTCTCCCGGACGCGGCCCCAGACTCCTGGGCTGGGCATGGCCTCCCTCGAAGAGCGGGAAGCCCAATCCCGAAGCTACCCGACCAGCTCGGCCTTTTCCCGGGAGGACGCGGATGAGAAGCCCCGCCCAACAGCCGCGGCAAAAGATTCCCCGGTTTCCGATTGGCTTAACTCCAGCTCCGCCTCCGTTTTTGATTGGATCACGGCACACACATAGAACGTTTCGGTTGGATAGCCTTCTCCTTCATGCCGGCCGGCGTCTGGACGTGACAGCTACTTCCCACTTGCGGAGAAGGTGATTGGCTCGAGGCCTACAGAGCCTGCTCGTGATTGGATAGCCCGGCTTCAGGGGGGCGGGCCAATGAAGTTCACAGCAGGGCTTGGCGGTGGTCATGGCGGCGGTGCCTTTGCGGGATCGGCTGAGCTTCTTAAGTCGGGTATTGCCTGGAGAAAGAGAGCCTGAACTGGAGGCTAGGTTCCCCATTCCTCTGGGCGGTCTGTGAAAGAACGGGGTTCACCCTTGAGGCCTTTGGCTTTCCCAGGCCTCCTTTTGACAGCGAAGGGCGAGGCGGCCTCAGTTTCAGAGTCGAACTATATACATGGATAGAAAACAAAAGGCCACATTTTTGGGCTAAATTATCCTTCTGCTAGTTTTTAAAGGTTTTAATGATGCTTGGTTGAAAACTTTCTTACATTCAGATTGTGATAGGAATGTGCCTAAATGGCTTAAAAGCTTTCTGTATTCGGTTTATGTATGAATTGGGCCTGCCACCTAACCACCCTATACATTGAATTGTCATTAAAGTTGAATGGAGATTTTTTGGCTTGTAAACAGAGGTAATATCTATAATCTACATCGAGTTGTCAGTCTTAGCTAAAGCAGAATTGTTAAAGGAATTTAAATATTTTTGGACTTACTGCTGGGTTTGTGATTCAGTTGATCTAGCGGTCAGATTTAAATCCAAATGTCCAGTGTTAATAAAATACTTTTGTGAAACTTGTTTCCAAAAGGTATCAGATATTACAGGAATCATTGGAGGGGGCTGTGCTGAGGATATTAATTCTTTTGCTACAAAATGCCATTTCTCATCCCTGTAGCAAAGTGATTTCATAGGTTTTGATTTGTATGTAATATTCTACTCCTAGTCAGCAATGTCTTCTTACCTCTCTCGATATATATATGTATATGTGTGTGTGTGTGTGTGTGTGTGTATATATATATATATATATATCACATTTTTCTTTTTTTGGATTTGGTATCTTTTGGAAACAAACTCCACATTTGTCAATCATTGAGATTTTTGTTTTGATGGTAAGGAAACACTTGGTTGCAGTAAAACATCTACACCTTGACCACCTTCCAGCGCCAGGTATAGTGACTTGGGTAGGAATGTGTCATAATTTGTAAATTATCCCTGGGAACAGATAGGCAAATTACCATCTGTTTCCCATTCCAGTTGGTGTGGCCAATTGATAGTACTGTGGTACTATAATACTGTGGCATGTTTGCTTGAATGAAATTATCATGAAGAGGCTTGATGTGAATTCTCCATTTCAGGCTAAAGTCTGTCAGCTGGAGCTATTGATTTGTAGGGGAAAAGAAAAATAATTGCATTTATTAAAAATAAAAGAACGGGTGAACTGAACTATATCTTTAGATTACTAGCAGCTGGTTATTTAAGCCGCATCTCTTCTGTCATATAATGCAGTTTGAAATTGCATTATATAGTCAGTGTGAACTCATATAATGCAGTTTAACCACATTGAATTTCATTGTATGAGTCCTCTATACTGACCATATAATGCAGTTTGAAACTGCATTATATGGCAGTGCAGATGGGGGCATAGAACACAATGTGAATCATACATTCCTTCTGAGGTTGTTGTACTAGAGCTCCCTGCATTTTCACCATTGACTATTTTAACTAGACGCATGAGAGTTGCAGTTCAATGATATCTGGAAAAACTAATGATTTTTCTGGGTCAGTAGCACCCAAAATGACTTGGGAATGTGTTTATGTATTTTTTATTTTAAGCTATTTATTTATTCAGCAATATAAATATAATTATGCAATTTGTAAAGTCTGTCATTCTCCAATATAGGAATTGTATCATATATACACCCATTAAAACTAACGCCCTTATCATCATCCCTATAAGCGATAATCATAAAGTAAAAAATTAAAATTGCCTTTATGTCTCCCACCTTAAAGACATACTATGAAAATATTGTTGTCATCCTGATCACTTATCTTCAAAAACTCCTTTATTCCACCTTACGATCTCAAAATTTTCCTTGATTTTAAAAACTGTTTTTCAGCTGCCCATTCTGATCAAAGGCACCTCAGATGATGAAGCCCCATGTCCAGGGTACCTGTTTGAAGAGATTGCCAGTATCCTTTGGTCCTTAAAGAACTGAAAGTCAATAGAAGTCTGAGAAAATCTTTTTAACACTTCCTTTTGTCCTAGGAAAAGTACAGGTTATTGGCCAGAGCAAAGGGCTAATATTTCTGATGGCCTGTGATCAAGTTGCTGTAGTAACATCACCTAAATATCTTTTGAAAATTTGCTGATGACAGTTAACTGATCTGATATGAAACCTGAGAAATTTAGATAAGAGAAAGCTACTCAGGTTGACCGCTGTGAGTCGCCTTCGGGCTGAGAACAGCGGTATATAAGTAAGGTAAATAAATAATAAATAAATTAAAGATGAACAACCAGATGTCCTGAGACCATAAGCAGACATTCAGTTTTGCTTGGAGTTCTTAGCTAAAGGTAAAGTCAGAAAATTATTAGTCTGAACTGCTGCAAGAAAATATGTTCTTTCCCCAGCAGCCTACTTAGGTATTGATGAAGAGATATGGAGACAAAAAGTGGCAGAGAGAAAACATAGGCTCTTCCCCACCCATTGCTGGCTTCAGCCTCACCTGTTGAACCAACATGCAATTTCTATAAGACATTATTTCCCTAATGCAAATTTGGACCTCAGCTTTTTGTCTACATCTAATTTAAACCCATGCATTTTCCAACACAATGTTTCATTTTCAAATATATATTGCATCTCTGTTTTTAAACCAGCTTGAATTAAATATAGTTTGTTGTTGAATTTAGTGGTAGGGAGAGGTTACAGAGGAAAACAGTTATGCTGTTGGAAACAACACATGTTGAGCAATAATTGTGTTCAGGCCATAGCAGGAACATTCTGCTGTCATGTAGGATGCGTCTACAGTTCTGAATTAATGCAGTTTAACACCACTTTGATTACCATGATGCAGTATTATAGAATCCTGGGATTTATAGTTTGATGAGGCATCAGCAATATTTTGCAGAGAAGACTAAAGACCTTGTAAAACTACAACACCCGTGACTCCATAGCATTGAGTCATGGCAGGTAAAGTGGTGTCAGACTTCATTAATTCTATAGAATTAATCTTTAAGTGATGCAACTAGCTAGACCATCAACATATTTACTATGTTAACTCTTTAACAAGACAAACTTCCAGAGATTTCACATGAGTCAGCAGGAAGCAGCCACTGTCTTCTCGAGTATCTCCTCAATCGCCTTCAGAACTGCTCCTGTCATGTCAAGCTGAAGGTAATGTATTGTTTGAAAGATGAATCAGTTCCTACAGCAGGCACTCTTAAAACCTGGGACATGCTCCCTTTTTATGTGGGGTTCCCATGCTTTCAGTTCTGTATTTATATCTCAGTCAGATGTTCACTTGCATCCTCAGGTGCTCAAGATTTTGCTGCACATGTGCAGCCATGGCTCCTCCCACTTTGTCCTGCAGCTCAAGCGGAATTCATCCTTCATCCAAGAAGCCACAGGTAAACCTCCAACAATTCCTTTTCTACCTCAACAGTCAACTGCATTTTCAGAAACCTCCAGGAATAGTAATTCACCTTCATAGTCTTCCCCTCACCCCCACATTATTTAACATTGTTTTTCAGAACCAGAAATGAACTTCTGTGATTCACTTGTTTTTTACTTCAACCTCTGATTTTTTTACAATCTATGCAGCCCTGGAATGTCCCAGAGGTGGAACTCCCCAAATAGTCTAGTTCTGCTCTAGATTATGAAAATGGTTGTGCTGGCTAGATGATTCTGGGGTAGCATTACAGAAAAAAACCTCAGGTCTTGCTACTTTTGGTTCTCTCTTTTTTTTGTAATTCATGAAAAAGAAGTGGAACTTGAGTGCATACTAGTGTTAGGCGAAGATTCAGTCTCTATAGGATGGAAGTGGTTTTGAAGAGGGTTCTCTTTGGGAATACTGGCACAGGCCTCTGGCCTATTGATTGTCTTATTGTTGCTGCTACTATTTTACTGCTGAGAGCTAGTGTGGTTAAGAGTACTGAACTGGAACTTGAGAAACCTGGATTCTATTCCCCATTGGGTTTGGTCTCTTTCACACTACATACCTCTAACACTATGGCACCACTTTAATAGTCATGGTTACAGTCTACAAAATCCTGGGATGTATAATTTGTTGAGCTGTCTAGCAGAGAATTACAAATACCTCAAAACTGCAGATGGCAGAATTCCATTGGATTTAAAGTGGCATCAGAGTGCTATAAACTGTGTGGTGTGAAGTAGACCTCAGGCACTCTTTCCCAACTTGTTCTGGCCTTAGGTTATTTGTTGTTTCTCAGTCTACCTCACAGGGTTGTTGTGAGGTTTAAGTGGGGGGTGGGGAGGGCACTAAATACTGCCTTGATATCACTGAAGGAGTACTGGGAATATAAGTGGAACCAGTGAATAAAAATAATGCCTTCCTCATGTCCTTAAAGAAGTATATAGAGACAGAGGTGTGACCAGGGCAGACCTGGAATGTAAATTCTCAGAAATCAACATATTAAGCTGTGACTTGCAGTGAAGTCAAGTTGGATTTGCTATTTTGGTGGCTCTCTTTCAAACATTAACATGGCAGCAAAAGATCAAAAGAGTTTACTCTTTTCCTTACTAAGCCATTGCTTCTACATAAATTTCTTCCTGCCTCAGTTTCCTTGTTAGCTGATGATCCTGCCTTGCTGCCAGAAAGTAAACAAGGAATCAAATACAAGGCGGGGGAGCGGTGATGGTGCCATGGTTACTTCCTGTGTGTCAGATGAAGGGTCTCGCCTAATGGCAGAAATTGTGATAACTGACTGTTAAAAATATGCCAGCTGTTATGTGTGGTGGTTCTTTTAGAAATAAATTCATTGTCCCAGAAGTTTGATGCAGAGTACCATACCTGGTGTGTGTGTGTGTTTTCCCATTCCATTACATATGCAATTTTGAAAAAAAATTGTCCATTTGTCGTTAAGGTCAGCTGGGATTTATTAAGCCAATTTCCTGTACAATATATTTTTTTTGCCTTCTGTCAATTTTTGGATATTTTCATTCTGATCATTTTATTATTTTGCCACACAGTAGGGCCCATATGTAACAACTTTCCTTTTTATTGTTCTGTATCAACATGCAATCTCCAGCAAAGGATCACCGCCTTGTCGGGGCGCTGGAGCTTGAGCACCTCAATGATGTCATGAGCGAAACCGTGAAGGGACACCCAAGACGGGACGGTTGTGGCAGAGAGGTCAGACCAAGCGTGATCCCTGGGGAAGGCAATGGCAAACCACTCCAGTATCCTTGCCAAGAAAACTAAATGGACCAGTACAACCAGAGATATGTCGGTATGCCATTGGAAGATGGGACTCCCAGGTCGGAAGATGGCCAAAATGCTACTGGGGAGGAGCAGAGGATAAGTTCAGCCAGATGTGATGACGCAGCTAGCTAAAAGCCGAAAGGAAGGCTAGCGGCCGACGGTACTGGAGGTGAACGACGAATCCGATGCTCTAAAGATCAACACACCATAGGAACCTGGAATGTAAGATCTATGAGCCAGGGCAAATTGGATGTTGTTATTGGTGAGATGTCAAGACTAAAGATAGACATTCTGGGGGTCAGCGAACTGAAATGGACTGGAATGGGCCACTTCACATCAGATGACCACCAGATCTACTACTGCGGACAAGAGGAACATCGAAGAAATGGAGTAGCCTTCATAATTAATAAGAAATTAGCTAAAGCGGTGCTTGGATACAACCCAAAAAATGACAGAATGATCTCAATTCGAGTGCAAGGAAAGCCTTTCAACATTACAGTGATCCAAATATATGCCCCAACCACAGCTGCTGAAGAAGCAGAAGTAGATCTGTTCTATGAGGATCTGCAGGACCTACTGGATAATACACCAAAAAGAGACATTATTTTCATTACAGGAGACTGGAATGCCAAGGTGGGAAGTCAAATGACAACTGGGATCACAGGCAAGCATGGTCTGGGAGAAAAAAATGAAGCGGGACGCAGGCTGATAGAATTTTGCCAGGAAAACTCGCTGTGTATAACGAATACTCTCTTCCAACAACCTAAAAGACGGCTTTACACATGGACCTCACCAGACGGTCAACACCGAAATCAGATTGACTACATCCTTTGCAGCCAAAGGTGGCGGACATCCATCCAGTCGGTGAAAACAAGACCTGGGGCTGACTGTAGCTCAGATCACGAACTTCTTATTGCCCAACTTAGAATAAAACTAAAGAGATCAGGGAAAATACACAGACCAGTTAGATATGATCTCACTAACATTCCTAGCGAATATACAGTGGAAGTGAAGAACAGATTTGAAGGACTAGATTTAGTAAACAGAGTCCCAGAAGAACTATGGACAGAAGTCCGAGACATTGTTCAGGAGGCGGCAACAAAGTACGTCCCAAAGAAAAAGAAAACCAAGAAGGCAAAATGGTTGTCTGCTGAGATACTGGAAGTAGCCCAAGAAAGGAGGAAAGCAAAAGGAAACAGGGATAAGGGGAGATATGCCCAGTTAAATGCGCAATTCCAGAGGTTAGCCAGAAGAGATAAGGAACTATTTTTAAATAAGCAATGCATGGAAGTGGAAGAAAAGACAACAGAATAGGAAGGACAAGAGACCTCTTCCAGAAAATTAGAAACATTGGAGGTAAATTTCAGGCAAAAATTGGTATGATAAGAAACAAAGATGGCAGGGACCTAACAGAAGCTGAAGAGATCAAGAGAAGGTGGCGAGACTATACAGAAGATCTGTATAGGAAGGATAATAATATTGAGGATAGTTTTGACGGTGTGGTGAATGAATTAGAACCAGACATACTGAGGAGTGAGGTTGAATGGGCCTTAAGAAGCATTGCTAACAACAAGGCAGCAGGAGACGACGGGATCCCAGCTGAACTGTTTAAAATCTTAAAAGATGATGCTGTCAAGGTGATGCATGCCATTTGCCAGCAAATATGGAAAACACAAGAATGGCCATCAGACTGGAAAAAATCAACTTATATCCCCATACCAAAAAAGGGAAATGCGAAAGACTGCTCAAACTTCCGTACAGTGGCCCTTATTTCTCATACCAGTAAGGTAATGCTCAAGATCCTGCAAGGAAGACTCCAGCAATACATGGAGCGAGAGTTGCCAGATGTTCAAGCTGGGTTTAGAAAAGGCAGAGGAACGAGAGACCTAAATTGCCAATATCCGCTGGATAATGGAGAAAGGCAGGGAGTTTCAGAAAAACATCTACTTCTGCTTCATTGACTATTCTAAAGCCTTTGACTGTGTGGATCATAATAAATTGTGGCAAGTTCTTGGTGGGCATCCCAAGCCACCTTGTCTCTCTCCTGAGGAATCTGTACAAGGACCAAGTAGCAACAGTCAGAACTGACCATGGAACAACAGACTGGTTCAAGATTGGGAAAGGCGTACGGCAAGGCTGCATCTCTCACCCAACCTTTTTAACTTGTATGCAGAACACATCATGCGATGTGCGGGGCTGGATGAATGCAAAGCTGGGGTGAAAATTGCTGGAAGAAACATTAACAACCTCAGATATGCAGATGACACCACTCTGATGGCTGAAAGCGAGGAGGAGCTGAGGAGCCTTCTAATCAAGGTGAAAGAAGAAAGCGCAAAAGCCGGGTTGCAGCTAAACATCAAAAAAAACCAAGATTATGGCAACAAGAATGATTGACAACTGGGAAATAGAGGGAGAAAATGTGGAGGCCGTGACAGACTTTGTATTTCTAGGTGCAAAGATTACTGCAGATGCAGACTGCGGCCAGGAAATCAGAAGACGCTTACTTCTTGGGAGGAGAGCAATGTCCAATCTCGATAAAATAGTAAAGAGTAGAGACATCAGACTGGCAACAAAGATCCGCCTAGTCAAAGCCATGGTATTCCCTGTAGTAACTACGGATGTGAGAGCTGGACCTTAGGGAAGGCTGAGTGAAGGAAGATCGATGCTTTTGAGCTGTGGTGTTGGAGGAAAGTGCTGAGAGTGCCTTGGACTGCGAGAAGATCCAACCAGTCCATCCTCCAGGAAATAAAGCCCGACTGCTCACTGGAGGAAAGATACTAGAGACAAAGTTGAAGTACTTTGGCCACATCATGAGGAGACAGGAAAGCCTAGAGAAGACAATTATGCTGGGGAAAGTGGAAGGCAAAAGGAAGAGGGGCCGACCAAGGGCAAGATGGATGGATGGCATCCTTGAAGTGACTGGACTGACCTTGAGGGAGCTGGGGGTGGTGACGGCCGACAGGGAGCTCTGGCGTGGGCTGGTCCATGAGGTCACGAAGAGTCGGAGACGACTGAACGAATGAACAACAACATGGCAACAAGAATGATTGACAACTGGAAAATAGAGGGAGAAACTGTGGAGGCCGTGACAGACTTTGTATTTCTAGGTGCAAAGATTATTGCAGATGCAGACTGTAGCCAGGAAATCAGAAGACGCTTACTTCTTGGGAGGAGAGCAATGTCCAATCTCGATAAAATAGTAAAGAGTAGAGACATCAGACTGGCAACAAAGATCCGCCTAGTCAAAGCCATGGTATTCCCTGTAGTCACCTACGGATGTGAGAGCTGGACCTTAGGGAAGGCTGAGCGAAGGAAGAGATGCTTTTGAGCTGTGGTGTTGGAGGAAAGTTCTGAGAGTGCCTTGGACTGCGAGAAGATCCAACCAGTCCATCCTCCAGGAAATAAAGCCCGACTGCTCACTGGAGGGAAAGATACTAGAGACAAAGTTGAAGTACTTTGGCCACATCATGAGGAGACAGGAAAGCCTAGAGAAGACAATTATGCTGGGGAAAGTGGAAGGCAAAAGGAGGAGGGGCCGACCAAGGGCAAGATGGATGGATGGCATCCTTGAAGTGACTGGACTGACCTTGAGGGAGCTGGGGGTGGTAACGGCCGACAGGGAGCTCTGGCGTGGGCTGGTCCATGAGGTCACGAAGAGTCGGAGACGACTGAACGAATGAACAACAACATCAACATGCAATACCATATTTTACAAGAGAAGGGTTTGTGTATTATAGAATTATAATGTGATGATTCTACCCACATCACAGTTCGACCAAATGCTCAGTATTGAGATGATTGACATAAGAAAGTTGTTATCTAAGCTGTTTGCTGTCATTGTGAAAGGGTGAAATTTATACATTTCAGTTGGTGCAGGTGCTGGTCTATAAGGGAGTAGGCCCCAGGAAGCTTGACTTTTAGACATGTGTAAAGCATCCAAGGATGGGTACTGTAGCCTTCTTTATCTTCTCCCCACTTTGGCTTTCAGTGTTCGCTGGGCCTCCTGATCCTCTCCATGGCAACAGCTTGTATCAGAAGGTGCGGATGGTTGCACAGGTGAGTGACAAATCACAGCCATAAGATTTGAAAGGATTTGCAAAGCTGACCATGTGGAAGGACTGATTGCCCAACATGTACACTGCATTGAAATTTCCTTTCTTCGTGTCCCTTATAGGACTTGGCAATGACTTTATTTTCAGATGCCTTGTTGCCTCAGCCTGCTTTGCATCCACCTAAAGATCTGCCTTCAACAGGTAAACCAGGGCTGGCTAGAACAAGGGTGGGCAACAGATTTTCAGAAGTGTGAGCACCCACAAGTTGCCTGACATCAGACTCCTGTTTTGAAAAACAAGCTTTTCTGTTCACTTGCTTGCTTATTGTTAAACAGTGTGGAGGGTCTGTGCTTGTGCATCCTGAACCATATTTTGAAGTTTGCTCCAGGGGCCTTCCAAAAGGGACCCTTAGCTCTTATTTCCAGGAAAAAAGAGCTCAAGAGGAATAGGAAAAGGGTGTTAACAGCTACAAAAGCAGAGTTAGAGGGCCACATTTAACTCTGGGCTGCACTTTTCCATCCCTGATGCAGGGGAACAGATCCAGTCTAAAGCACGAGTCTTTATATCACTGAAAGTCTTGGATGGGTTTGCATTTATTTAAAACAGCAGAAACCACCAAGAGATTGCTTTGCGTTTATCTTGCTCACTCAGCCTTTTCAGTAGGGATTTAGATATCACCGTTCTTCTCTTTCCCGTCTTCTCTACACCTCTGGGGAGAAGAAAAGTCATTCCATATTCTGAGTTAAAGGGCCATACAGACTGCTGCCCTTCAAAAGGGCATTCTGTCCAATAATCCCAACTCAGGAGGACTGAAAAAGCCATGCTGTCTCCTTCAGACTTTCAGTGGATCAAGTGTAAATTCTGTGTCAGGCTGCTACAAAACTGTAACTATAGAAAGTCCGTTGAGAACAAGAACTGATATCTCCATCTGCGTGTTGACCTTTGCTGTCTGCATGATGAAAGTAGAATTTATTTTGTTTTTCCTGCTAATCTTTACACTTCTTAGCTTTTGTCTCAGTTAGTTCTCTTTAGTAAAAAATGCGCCTTGATTAAAAAAGCGGCAAGAGTCTCATTGTTGCAGCAAAAGAGCCTTGGCGGGATTTTTAAATGAATGTTTTATAACTGATTTTAACTGTTGTTTTTAACTGTGTTATTTTATAATGTATGTGTTGGCATCTAATGGTTGCCTGTTGTGAAGCCGCCCTGAGTCCCCCTCTGGGGGTGAGAAGGACAGGGTACAAATGTGTGAAACAACAACAACAGTTGTTGTTGTTGTTGTTGTTATTCTGCTATTTCCCTTATGTCAGTCTGTATGGTTTATGGCTATTTGTTTTCAGCTCAAGTTGTCTCCTTCTCCCAAGTCATTTACATCTGGTCATCTGGGTAATATGTGGCCTGATGATATTATTTTGTAGATGAAATACAATCATGATTCCTCTGCTCAGTATGGTTTGGTGGCATGGAGATCAGTAAACAAACCAACCAAGACTCCTTATCTGAACAAGATGGCACTTGAATGCTGGCAAAGGGGCAACACTGATGGGGGGTGCATGCAGCACCTCTATCATAATGGCTTTAATCTTAATTTAGGCTCCTTTTATTCTTCTCTTCCTAGGAATGGGGTCCAAGTCCAGCTCCCACAGTTCCCTCCAAGGCTTTGGTTTTGAAAGAAGTAGTTCCCGTGAGTAAGGGCTCAGAGTATGATGGTAAAGTTTTTGTTGTTGGGGGGCACTGCCAAGTTTCCAGGGCAAGGGCTTTTATCTTCCTACATATGTGTTAGGTGTTTCCATTTTGCCCCCTTTCCCCAGCTTTCCTTTGGAGAAGCTCTTAGTCTTTGCTTTCTTCCTACCTGGTATAGATAAATATTTCTCTTTCCTTGAAAACCACTTGGAGAAATCAAGCTATACAGCAAGCCAACCTGTTTAGGGAAGAGCAAGGGTAGTAAAGAAAGTGAACCCAACCCTTCCTCTTTTTCTGATAGGCCAAAAGAATGAGGGATGTGCTGAGTGTCACCCACTGTGGTTTTCCCCTCTGGAAACCCACAACCAATAAATAACTCTATCTCAAGCCTGGTTCCATTGTCAGTTAGTGTGGACCCTCTCCCTTTGGGCTAGCCTGTCTATTCCCTGGATAAATTGCTGTGTATTAGGAGCCCCTGGTGATGCAGTGGGTTAAACTGCTGAACTTGCTGATTGAAATGTCCAGTTTGAATCCATGGGATGGAGTGAGCTCCCACTGTTAGCCCCTGTTAGCTTCTGCCAACCTAGCAGTTTGAAAACTTGTGAGTAGAGCAATAGGTACCTCTCTGGCAGGAAGGTAGCAGCACTCCATGCAGCCATGCTGGCTACATGACCTTGGAGTTTCTATGGACAATGTTGGTTCTTTGGCTTAGATATGGAGATGAGCACCACCCCCCAGAATTGGACAAGACTAGACTTAATGTCAAGGGGAAATCTTTGCCTTTACTTATTAGTACCAGGCTTTTCCCTGTACCATGTATTTTTACTGTGGTTAACATGCTATTGTACTCAGCCAAATAAATGATCTGCCTTTGTTCTCTTTCAGCCTCCACTGGCAAAGTCCTGCTGGCCACCATCCAGAAAGCAGCGGAAGTGGTTGCCAGTGCCATGCTTTCTGGTCAGGAGCTGACTAGTCCTCCCAACAGGGCGTTGACAGATGATGCCTATGAACCAGTCCTGGCTCCTTCTTCTGGCAAAAGCACTACCTTGCCAACAAAGACATCTACTGTTCCTGTTCATAAGATGTGTGGTATGGTACATCCTGTATACAAAGCTTATGGACATGGGAACAGCTTGATAGCCTTATTGGTTGCTTTATGGGAGGGATAAAAGCAGCTGACTGTAAAGTATAGATGATCTATAACTGATATTAATCACACATGATCATCATTTTTTTCCTTCTGGATGAAAGGATCTTATTTTCCTCATGAATCCTCTGCCCAGGCCTTCTTGTTGGAATACAAACACCTGGCTGTGCATTGCAAATTTCTGATTTCAAGATTGACGGAGAGATGAGCGAATATTGTTTTGAAACCTGACATTTTGAGAAGTGATGTATTTCATGGTTATTTTCCTGAAATTTTCCTCCAGTGAACCATCAACCAGGGCAAGTAGGAGGCGGGTGGGAAGAATTGGACAACGGGGAAAGCTCCCAGAATTCTTTCCGCGAGAACAGCGAGTTCAGCAAGACTTCTGGGTCCTACAGCAAGTCAGGCAGCGACAACCACTCAGGCGTCCAAGAGGCAGGGAGTATAGTGGAAAGGTAAGACAATGGGCTGCATGGTCACAGTTCAGAGGGCGTTGATATGCAGTGATAGGAAGTAAGAAAGAGAAGGCTTTTGTGAATTCATGCATCCATTTTTCCTAGGATGGAAACTGAAAACTTTGCAGATTGCCTGCAGGAAGTGAGCCTTGTCAGCAAACTAACCAATGGCTCAAAGGTCTTCTTGACACGTGAAGAAACCCAGCATTTTATCAAGGAGTAAGAGCACTCTTTCTTTCCTTGTGGTAGCTTACATCTTGCCAATATTTCTTCTCACTCCCACTGATGCAGGAATATCCCCACATATTGCCTCTTTCTATGCTGTATGTCAGTGTTGATTTTTGTAAACTATTTTGTAAACACTTCGATAAATGTTCTCAGGGCTGGCACAAAATAGTTTGTCGCCCAAAATGGAAGACCCAAATAGTACCTGTCCCTCATTCTGTTGATCTTATGACTGACTTTAAAAATTGTGCTGACATCTATTACCTCAAGAGCTTTTTTTTCATTTATCCCCTCGTTGTGCTGCCTCATTTCCATTCAAAGCTAATGAATAGTTATATAGACTTCCTCTTGTTTCTGATAATCCATATGTTCAAAGAAATTCTTACAAAGATTAGCTTGCTTTTCTCCATACTTCATAAAATTGGCCCCTAGTCTCTTCATTTCTGTTCGTTCTCTCTCTCTCTGTCTCCATAGATGTGGTTTGCTGAACTGTGAGGTGGTCTTGGCTCTACTTAGCCGAACCCTGAAGGACCCCAGTGAGTGCATCTGCATGGTGAGGAAACCCTTCAGTCTTCCAAGACACAATTTACTTCAACAAACAGGATACCTTTCCTCCTTGGATTTGAAATCTGGAGTTAAGCTGACATGGAGATAGTTTATCTTTGGTCTTTGTTAGGGCAGCCTGGAGAATCTGTCTCTGTAGCAAAGCAACATATTACAAGATGTTCAAATCAGTGATACTCCAATAGCTCCAGCTGTGCAAGTTGGGTACATGTCAGCATTTACTTTCCCGACCCTGCTTTTTTTTCATCCACAGAGAGCCATGTGTGCCATCTATTCCCTTATGTGTTCTGACTTGCTCTCCCATGATCAGATATTTGCTGTTGCCCAGCCATACTTGCAGGAGCTCAGTCAAGAGAGGCCTGGGCCTGTGGCCAACAAAGCAACAAAGGTAATACACAGCCCCAGATGTTGTTTTTTATTTAAAGGCAACTCATCTTGATGTTGTTTCCCTCTTCATGTAGCCTGTTTGTCAAAGGGCAGCCCAGCATTTCCTTTTATCCTGCAGCAGTGGAAGCTTTGTTGTTATCTTTTTGTTCCTGGTGCTTAGAAATGGGCTCTACAGTGTGTGGCTTTGTTTTGGTTCTTCGGTGGTATTTTTAGTAGATCAGAAATGAAAAATTCCCTTATTTTTATAGTGTAAGAACACCAAAATCTGCAGGGTGATCTGACATCATTCAATGACCTGACTTTTAATCATAGTACACCATAATTTGATATTCTTAGAGATGTATTATTCTTAGAGATGTATTATTCTTAGAGATGTATCCTCTCTATCCTGGGTCCTTCAACACAACTCCTTGGTAATTTCCAGAGGAAGCATATTATAGAATTTCCTTGAGGATCAAGCAAATTCTTAGAAAGCCAATTTTCCCCCAGGAATGGACAAGTGAAACTGTAGAAATGGGTTTCATAGTTATGGGGATCTTACTGCATCTTGTGCATTCTAAGACATTTCACCCCTCTTTTTGTGGAGGAGCACATATCACAAATACATCTTGACTTTAATGGAAACAATATAATCTTCTGTATATGACATAACAACTCCCAGAGACTTCCTCAGGTCAGGCTGGGTCATAGAACAATGTTGGGTGAGGCAATTGCTGCTTGTTCTGGGTTTTCCAAGAGCCCTCAATGTGATAGTATTGTTGAAACTATGCTACTGTTGGATTTAAAATATGTTCGTAATAAATAATGACTGCATGGGCTGAGAGGAAATTAATCCAATTTAAGGTGTTCTCACACTGTGGTGGTGTTTGTATTAGTCTTCAGCCTGGTGTTGGTGTCTTTTTGTGGTGGGAGAGGCTCTTTTCAGGGTGGTACAATGCTTCTCATATTTGGCACACTCCTTTCACCTCTTACAGATCTTGCGCCAGTTTGAAGCCCTTAGCAGGACCCATCCCACATCCAAGAGCTCGCTCCCAGATGGCAGCCACTGTGTTCCTGCCAAGACTTCCTTTGCACATGCAGATGATCTGTTGATGGACGTGATGCCCTTTGCCGGAGAAACTGTCCTCACACCCATGAGCCTGTCAGCACAATCCTCTCAAACACCTAATCTTCTCACAAGTGACACATCCCTGTCAGAAGGGCAGGGACTGGAATCTGTCTCCTCAGGCCAATGTGATATCCTGCCACTGAGTGTCAGCCAGAAGAGGGAAGAAGAATGCAGGCTCCAAAACTCTGAACCCCCGGAGGACAGGCCCCAAAGGGGTGACCCAGATGGCACTGTTTCCTTGTTTGCAGGTATGGAGCTAGTGGCCCCTTCAAGCATGATGCTGGCAACAGTGGAAGTTGCTGAGCAGGAATGCTTCCCACCAGCTCCAAGGACAGCATCATGTACTGGAAACACCAGGAGCAGTGAGGATAACCAGAAGATATCTGCTTTTTCATTCCTCAATGCATAGCAGTTCCAACTCAAAACAGGCGAGATAACAACAAACTGGTACTGGTTTACTTTTCCTTGTGGTGGTTGCTTTCCTCACCTGTCTTTAGAGAGACAAGGCTGATTCTCAGTTGCTTGTCCAATCACTTTTTTTTGTTTTGTTTATGTTAGTCCTAAAGAGCGGAGACTGTACCAGCATTCCTATAGCATCATTTGCAAACATGAAAGAGAAGTGCGGTGTTGTGTGGTTTCCGGGCTGTATGGCCGTGTTCTGGCAACATTTTCTCCTGATGTTTTGCCTTCATCTGTTGCTGGCATCTTCAGAGGATCATGCTATAACACATACATACAGCCCTGGAAACTACACAATGCCTCACTCATTCCAACCGTTAAAGAATAATATCACACAAAAGCATAAAATAGATCTCCTTAGGTGATATATTTATGGCTTACAACTCACTGAATTCCCTAGCCAGCATGGCAGTGCCAATCAGTGTTGGAGTTACTAGGAGGTGTTGTCCAAAAAAGCAACTTCTCAACTTGATACCATGGTAATACACAATTACAAGGTAGCTTTTAGAGTTATTTAATTTTGTTTGAAACAGAGCTAATTCCTGCAGTAAAAATTCTCTCTTTCTTCCATCTCCCTTCTCCAGTCTCATGTGCAGATGGGGAAGTGCTTCGCATGTGCCCAGGCCTAGGAACGCTGTATGCCACATGGGGCAGAGATAGTGAAGCCTTTGGCTCTCCAGAGGTGTTAGACTGTATGTCCTAGAAACCTCAGACAATGGTAGGGGATGATGGGAGCCATAGCCCAAAATGCTTGGAGGTTCGAAGGTTCCCCAACACAGATATAAAGTGCTACATGCTGTATATATGTGTAGACTTTGGTTAGTTAGCCATGGGAATCATTGCCTATGCTTGACGATCATTTAAAAAAGAGCTGTGGCACTGAAAATTGATGCCAAGCAAAAATCAAATCTGACTTCTTACCACTGGTACTAATAACGTCTAGTCTTGTACGGAAGCATATAACTGCTAGCAAATACGATGAACAAATCATCCATGCTCAGAAGGCCTTTGGTCATTTCCAAGGAGTTTTGATGAAAAAACTGAAAAGCTATTTAAAATGGAATGGTAGGTGCAAGATAGAGAGCAGTCTTCTGTTGATGTAGGTATCGCCCAATAGGTCTTCCCAGTGCTGTTGCCTCAGTCATCTCAGTGGGGGCGAAATTTGTGATAGTTTTGAGTGCTGGGTCAAGGATTAATATCCTAGCAACTGTCCTTGCCTACTTGGAAAACAGTAGCTTACTGATAACATGAGCTCCAGCTGGCATGTCACCATGTAACTGAATTCATAGTTGCTTGGAAGTCTGCCTAGATAAGGCAAGCATCTGGAAACAAGGATCTTTGATTTCATTTATCTGTGTAAGAACATCTTAATACCACTTTCGGTGGCTGGTTTGTTTTTAATCTTTGAGTACTTTAATTAATGACAACAGTAAATCCAATTGCTAAAAATATAAGTAATTACTTTATATAATTCATTTTACAAACTTTTTTGCTACATTAACAGGAAAATGCCCAAGAAAATCGGTATTTTGTTAATAGCAGAAAGATACAACAATTGCAACCTCACTGGGAGAATCCTTTTGCATATTGGGTGCTGTGACAAAGGAGGCTGTCTTCTGAACATGGATATAATATGGAGCCCCTGGTGGCTGGACTGAAGACTGACAGGTCAGAGGTTCAAATCTGGGGGAAAGTGCAGATGAGCTCCCTCGTCAGAAGCCTCCCACAAGGATGGTAAAACATCAAAACGTCCAGGAGTCCCCTGGGCCATCCTTACAGATGGCCTGTTCCCTCACACCTGAAGCGACTTGCAGTTTCTCGTCACCCCGGCACAAAAAAAAGCTATAAAATGGTAGACACTAGGCAGAGTTTCCCTATGTCCTAGGAGTTTGGAAAGAGCACACCATAATTTCCATTTAAAAAAAATATAGAGACCAGGATATTTCCTTCTTTGCTTTCTTAAAATGCACACTGAACAAAACATCAATAAAACACTTAATACTCCTACCAGTACTCATAAGAAGTCCTTTCTAAATCTTGTCACTACCACAGACAGAACACTAGACACAAAATATTTCATGGTGGCTCTTATGTATTTCTGAATTTCATAATTATTATTGTGGTGTTAGAGGAAAGTTCTGAGAGTGCCTTGGACTGCCAGAAGATCCAACCAGTCCCATACTTCAGGAAATAAAGCCCTCATTGGAGGGAAGGATAGTAGAGGCCAAGATGAAGTACTTTGGCCACATCATGAGAAGAAAGGAAAGCTTAGAGAAGACAATTATGCTGGGGAAAATGGAAGGAAAAAGGAAGAGGGGCCAACCAAGGGCAAGATGGATGGATGTTAGCCTTGAAGTGACTGGATTGACCTTGAAGGAGCTGGAGGTGATGACGGCCGACAAGGGAGCTCTGGCGTGGGATGGTCCATGAGGTCATAAAGGGTCGGAAATGACTGAATGAATGAACAACAACAATTGTGTTCTTATTTGATGGTCAAGTAAAGGAGAGTTATTTCCAGTTGTAAGCAATGTTGCATGGAATGCAACCAAGAGTGTCAGGCAAGTCTGAATTCCTATGAGAAGCAGGAAAGGGCTCTCTCCTTTGCTGTATTAATTTTCCACAAAGATTCGTTTCTCTTTCTGTTTGATGTTAGTGGTGTTTGTTCTTCAAAAGCAGAATTTTCCATCTGCAAACACACTTGACTGTAGCCCTGATTTGCTATAGTTTATAGACCACTTCAAAAGGAATGGACTTTCTCTCTCTACACACACACACATAAACATACATGCAAATACATTGCAAAGTCCACTTCAAAAATAAGACTTTTCCAGGCTATAGTAAAATTGTTTAAATTATATTTGTTTTGCACTCAAGGTGCTGGCCTGTTATTATTCTACAATACTGATTTGTTCATTTTCCCGAGAAAAGTCAATTTAACTAATGCATATCATTCCCTGGTTCATTCAATCAGGACCTTGAATTCTGTTGGTCACCCTGCCTTAAGGCAAGCCAGGAACAGATGAGATGTAACACAATCCTAGTCATGTTTACTCAGAAGTAAATCCCACTGGGTCTACTTGGGCTTTTTCCTTAATAAGTATGTATCAAATTGCAGCCTTAATTTCCCGCTTGCTCAACGTGATCTGTCAGTGACGTGGATGGTCTGGGCCTTTTTATCCCACCTGGATCTAGTCTGTTGTTCATCTCCATGCAGACTCTGCAACATGATCCCATTTTGATGTATATCTCCTGGGTTTCACGCATTTGCTCTTTTGAATGTGCTGCCTATTCTCGTTTGTCACAGCTGTTTCTGTATTTGTTGAGTGCAGGGATGCCTGATAAAAATGACATTCACAGACTGATCCTAGGTTGCTCCTATGTTCATTGAAACCAAGGGGCTTAAGCCCCCTTAAGTCTGCATAAGGATTGGGCTACAGCTCTGTATAACATAGTAATAGAAGCAGCTGATGCCACGCTACAACTGAGCACAGGCATAATAGTTTGGTAGTGAGAGAGCCCCATGGAGCACAAAGGATGCTCTGTCCTGTCCCCCAGATGGAGTGGATTAAGGGTTTCTCTCTCCCTACACACTTCCCACTTGTTCTGAAAGCTCACAGAGGAACTGCTCTTTTAACCACAGCAGAGCAGTTTCATAGAGCTGTGCCTGCTGCCAATTAATTGTTCAAAAACAATGTTGTTCATTACATTTGAATGCACATTGCATAAAAAATGTGCATTGATGTGTGATTGTGGAATAAGTGTAAAACCACAATTTCTGAAATTCAAAAAGGTTTCCCAACTATGGGTGTGAACGGTTGCTAAAGCTGGTGACTTGCTGGCTGGGTGCTTTCTGGCATTTAAAGATCTCTTTAATGCACAGGGTGTCCCAAAAGTCGTCATACATAGGTGAAATGGGAAATTGTAGCAAAATGTATTATTTACAAAATATTCATTACAAAATATTTTCTATGTGTTGTATAGGTAAACATAAATACAAAAATATTAAAAATATTAAATGCATTAAAATATGAGTTTGTTAATTTTTGTTATGTATGGAGGCTTTTGGGACATCCTGTAGTATAGCACTGTTCTTTGCTGGCTGTAGTGCAGACATGGGCAAACTTTGGTCCTCCAAGTGTTTTGGACTTCAACTCCCACAATTCCTAACAGTTGGTAGGCTGTTAGAAATTATGGGAGCTGAACTCCAAAATGCACAGAGGACCGAAGTTTGCCCATGCCAGTTTGAGTGCCAGCATGCACAATCTGGCTCCCAAGCGACAGAATAGATACTGTAGGCCCAAGGTCTGCTAGCGGCAACCACATTCATAACAGCAGCAGCAGGAGCCCCAGAGCAGTCCTATAGGCCAGTGGAGGGCTCAACCTCTGGTCGTCCAGGTGTTGTGACTTTGGCTGCCAAAATTCCTGATAGGTGGCCAAGGTGGCTGGGGTTTCTGGGAATCAAAGTCTCAAAGCACGTGAAGGACCAAAGGTTGGGAATTACTGGACAATATATTGGCCATCCATCTGCCCTGGGAGCTGGAGGAGAAGAGTATGGTGTGCAGAAGCATCTTAAACAAAAGGATTTGACCCTCATGAATAAGTTATAAAGCTAGTGCTGATTTTAATTTGGGGTGTTGGCAGCAATACAATTTTAGAGGGTTATATTATGGGTAGGTGTGGTGCTAACGAGCTGACTTCAAGGCAGAAAAATCTGGATTATTGGGTAGTTGTAAACCAGGTCTTCTTACACTTTGTCTCCTTCTGACCTCTTTCCGTCCGATAATTTTTATGTGATTCCATATATAAAATAGCTACGAAAATCAAATGTTTAAAATAGATCAGCATTTACGATACTTGCTCAACAAGAACAGCTGAAGCACTTTCTGAAGAGTCCACTGTAACTAAATGTTGCTACTAGATTCATGTCAATGTCTAAAACAGTCACACAAGTGGAGTTCAGAAACCTTTGACTCCATCTTCTCTCCAATGGGGCCCTATATGGGACTCATAATTTAAATCAGCTTCCTCTGATGCAATAGATTAGGATGTAACTGTATTGCAGAGTTATAGGGTTAGGGTTTTGAGACCACTTTAACTGCCATGCCTCAGTTCTATAAAATAGTAAGTTAAGGGTTCCTCTCCCCCTTAATGACTTCACACTTACCCTGATGGCTCATGGTGTTTTGTAGTTTTGTGAAGTATCTAGTCTTTTCTATTAGAGAACTGTGGTTCCACAACGATGTAAAATCCCAGAGGTTTGCACTATTAAGACCTAACAGTTTAAAATGCTGTCAGAATGCCATAATCCTGCAGTGTGACCCCACCCTTGCCTTAAGGAAACTTAAGCTCCTACCTTTGTTCTCTCCATTAGTCCCTAATGGGCGCTAATACAAGATCCCTTGGCAGAGACCGACAGGGCTAGGCCTCTGAATATGTCCCACTGAGCATCCCAATTCCCTTCTTTTGGGACCCTTTATTTATTTATCATATCAAAAGTGAATTGAGGGCACAGCTGTAATGTATTTAAAAACACGAAGTTTAAAAAGTTGGCATTATACTAAATTTCCCTTGACCAGAAGCTGGCCACTTGGAGTGCCTTTGGTGTTGCTATAAGAAGGTCCTCCATTGTGCATGCTGCATTGTAGTAAGTTCTCTGTGGTTTGCTCTTCTCCACACTCGCATATTGTGGACTCCACTTTGTAGCCCTATTTCTTAAGGTTGGCTTTGCATCTCATGGTGTCAGAGCACAGTTTGTTCAGTGCCTTCCAAGTCACCCAGTCTTCTGTGTGCCCAGGAGGGAGTCTCGCATCCAGTATCAACCATGGGTTGAGGTTCTGGGTTTGAGCCTGCCACTTTTGGACTCTCGCTCACTGAGGTGTTCCTGCGAGTATCTCTGTAGATCTTAGAAAACTATTTCGTGATTTAAGGCATTGGCGTGCTGGCTGATATCCGAACAGGGAATGGGCCGGAGATGTCACAGCCTTGCTCCTGGTGAGGGAATAAGCTCCGCTTTGGTCAAGGAGGAGTCCATTGTTCAGACCACCACTATGCCATGCTGCAGAGCCATACTAAAAAACCTCAAAAATCCAAAACAGGTGGCGGAGATAGTGACACCTTTATCGGTGATAGTCTGATAGATGGGTCCGGAAGCTCTGAGTGTTACAGAGATGCCGCAAAGGTGGCTGTGAATAAGGGAAGGGGGGGGCAGACTGAGAGCGGGGAGAGCGAAGGGAGGGGATGCTTAGGGTAAGGGTTAGGGCAAGGGTTTGGGTTACGGTTAGGGTAAGGGTTAGAAGTTTTGGTTAGGGTACCGTTTAGGGTTAGGGTAAAGTTTAGGATTTGGGTTAGCGTCAGGGTTAGGATTTGGGTGAGTGTTTGGGTAAGGGGTTAGGCTTGGGCTTACGGTACAGTTCAGGGTTAGGGTTAGGATTTCACCATTAAAGAACTCTTACATTCCTTCTATATTATCTGTCTCCAGCCTGGTTTACATTAGCTAAGTCTCTCTTGCGCAAACAGCTCTCCCAAAGGAGCATTGCAGCATCTCTGTAATGCTTGGAGCTTCCAGACTCAGCTATCATACTATTACCCCTTTCTCTTCTGATACTTCTGGGTATTAACTTTTGTTTCATACACTAAATCAGGCATCCCCAAACTGCGGCCCTCCAGCTGTTTGGGCCTTCAACTCCCAGAATTCCTGAAAATGGAACAAGCTCGTTCGGGCTTCTTAGAGTTGGGAGGCCTAAACAGCTGGAGGGCCACAGTTTAAGGATGCCTGCACTAAATGGTTAAAAGTGTTGTGTATGAAATGACCTTTGGGCTACAAATACAAAGTGTACCTGAGGCATGTGCAAACGTGGACCCCTTCTCCAGCACTGTAATGCAGTGATCACACTGTAGACCAGGCCTGGGCAAACTTGGGCCCTCCAGGTGCTTTGGGCTTCAACTCCCACCATTCCTAACAGCCTCAGGCCCCGCTTAAGCGGCTGAGGAGGAAAAGGGAAGAGCCTGAGGCTATTAGGAATGGTGGGAGTTGAAGTCCAAAGCACCTGGAGGGCCCAAGTTTGCCCAGGCCTGCTGTAGACCCACATAATGCTCTTTTTGAGTCTACACAGGGACCATACAAGTTCCAAACTGACTTATATGGCCCTGTAGATGGGGCCCAGGACCTGTTATCATGTATGCGTGTGTCAATGCAAGAATGCCAAAATCCAGAAACACTTCTCGCTCCATGAGTTTCGGAGAAAGGCCTTTCAACCTGTTCTCTGGCCTTTGAATCCGCCTCCTCGCTGCCTTTTCCCTCTCTGAAGCGCCCGCGCAATCTCCCCGCCTTCTTCTGCCTTGCGCCGGTCAGCCTAGCGCCGCCGTCAGAGACAGACAAGGGGCTGAGCCAATCAGAAGCCGTCTATCTCCAGCCTGGCCAATGTGATGCTAGAGGGAAGGCGGGCCCTTCCTCCTCCTGGTTGCTATCCGCGCGGCGTCTTTTGTCGTGGCCTGAAAGAAGGGGGGGGGGGCAGCTGGAAGGAGTTTCCCATGGTGCTTTGCGGGGAAAGACTCAGGGGGCGCCGTACGAGGAAAAGTCCCGGAGGAAAGAAGCGAGGGAGACAGGCAGGTAGGCAGCCCTCTTGGAGAGGCCACTTCGGGCGAGGGTCTCTGGGCCTAGGGGCGCCTGTCTCCCTTCAGCTTGAGCGGAAGCCGGGAGTGAAGCCCCGGCCAGAGGTGGAAGCCCCGGGCTCCCCTTTTGGGTCCCTCTGCTGAGGTAAGCGAGGCTAGGCCTCGAAGGCCTCCTGGCTCCATTCGGTTCCCTTGTTCCAGAGCCTCCCACGGTTTGGTGTGGAAGTAGCCTTTGCATTATATTGCATTACATTGGCCCAAGCTCCTCCTGGGAGAAAAGAGGAATTCTGCAAGGAAGGATATTTTTTTTCGTGTCAGGAGCGACTTGAGAAACTGCAAGTCGCTTCTGGTGTAAGAGAATTGGCTGTCTGCAAGGATGTTTGGTGTTTTACCATCCTTGTGGGAAGCTTCTCTCATGTCCCCGCATGGGGAGCTGGAGCTGATAGAGGGAGCTCACCCACACTCTCCCCAGATTCGAACCCTCTCATCTGTCAGTCTTCAGTCCTACCGGTACAAGGGCTTAACCCACTGCGACACCGGCGGTTCCTGCAAGGAAGGATAAAACTGCCTTCCCTTCACCCCGCAACTCCATCCCTTCTCAAAATGGAAACCCTCCAACCCTCTGTTCTCGCAGATCTTTCCAAGCTGTGTGTCACGACACACTAGTGAGCCGGCTGCAGTGTGTAGGTGTGTTGCACGAACCTAAGGAGAAACTTCTCGGTCTCTGAGAAATAAGCAATGAATCATATTACGTGTGTGTGTAGGAGAGGTTTTCATGGCATCTGTTGTATCCCCATACATGTTGTGGTTACATATATATAGGGAGCCCCCGGTGGTGCAGTGCGTTGAACTGCTGAGCTGCTGAACTTGCTGTCCCAAAGGTCGCCGGTTCAAACCTGGGGAGCAAGATGAGCTCCCACAGTTAGCCCCAGCTTCTGCCCACCTAGCAGTTGGAAAACATGCAAATGTGGGTAGATCAAGAGGTACCACTCCAGCCTCGGAGGCGTCTACGGACAATGCCGGCTCTTTGGCTTAGAAATTGAGATGAGCATCAACTCCCAGAGTCTGACACGACTGGACTTAATGCCACGGAAAACCTTTACCTTTGTGTCTTTATCCTTTACAAGGGTTTAGAGCAGGGGTCTACAAACTTTTTACACAGAGGGCCAGGTCATAGTCCCTCAAACTGTTGGAGGGCCGGATTATAATTTTTAAAAAATGAATAAATTCCTATTCACACTGCACGTATATTATTTGTAGTGCAAAAAACACTTTAGAACAATACAATAATTAAAATGAAGAACAATTTTAACAAATATAAACTTATTAGTATTTCATTGGGAAGTGTGGACCTGGTTTTGGCTGATGAGATAGGATTGTTGTTGTTATTGTGTGCTTTCAAGTCGTTTCAGACTTAGGTTGACCCTGAGTGAGGGCCGGGTAAATGACCTTGGAGGGCCGTATTCGGCCCCAGGGCCGTAGTTTGAGGACCCCTGGTTTAGGGTAACCCAGGCATGGGCAAACGTTGCCCTCCAGGCATTTTGGACAGCCTGTTAGGAATTGTGGGAGTTGAAGTCCAAAATGACTGGAGGACTGAAGTTTGCCCATGCCAGGTATAAGCTCTGGTTTGTTAATAGAACTGTGTCTCAAAATCATGCATGTCTGAAAAGTGTATCACCGACATGTTTGGAAAACTCTTGCTCTATATACGCATGCACAAGGCCAAACACTAGTGAAGAAATCAACCCTCCAAAACATGGGCCAGTCAGAGTACTGTACTTTAACTCTTCCCAGAAGAGAACCCTACTCTTTTCTGGAGAGAGTGGCTTAGCCTGTCCTGGGACAAACTACATGAGGCAACTTTGCTCTCACTGATTCTGGCCTTTTAAATGTTTTGATTTAAATGGACTATTTTAATGTCTTAATGATGTAATTTTGTTTTTATATTATTATTTGACTCACACTTTATATTTTATACTGCTTTAACATAATTGTTGTTTTATGATTTGTTTGTTTGTTTTTAATTTAAATAGTTCTATTTGTTTAATTTATTGTTTTTATTAGCTTATTGTCTACTATTATTATAGATTGTGACCTGCCCCGAGTTCCCTCAGGGAGAGGGGCAGGATAGAAATAAAGTTTATTATTATTATATTATTTATTATTAAATGCTGGCAGGAGAACCCACAGTGGCATTAACTTGGCATTGGTGCTTTTCCTCTTCATAGAATGACATCAAAATCCATAGCTTTTGGCTTCAAAACATGCCTTTGACTTATACATGACATTGAGTTATACATGAATATCTATGCTAAGTCTTTTCAATAAAAATAAAGGTTTCAGTAAAAATAAAAATTTAGATTGAGCATCTCTTCCCCAAAAGGCTTAGGATCAGAAGTGTTTGAGATTTTTAAAATCTTGGAATGCTTGTGTTTGCAAATATATGTTTACGTAATGAGATTTCTTGGAGATGGGACCCATGTCCAAGCACAACATTCATTGGGGTGTTATGTACACATAGCAACTTTATGCAATATTTTAATAGTTTTGTGCATGCAACAGTTTGAATACGCTAAGCCAGTGGTTCTCAACCTGTGGGCCCCCGGGTGTTTTGGCCTACAACTCCCAGAAATCCCAGCCAGTTTTCCAGCTGTTAGGATTTCTGGGAGTTGAAGGCCAAAAATCTGGGGACCCACAGGTTGAGAACCACTGCACTAAGCCATCACAAATCAAAGGTATTAGTAGTAATTTTTTGTTGATTAGCCTTTAGGCCATATCACAGTACCAAACGAAACAACCAGGCTTGATAAGACTTGATTAAATGCTATGTAGTATGTTAAATATGACACTTATAACAATACAGTAAATAAATATGATAAAACAGAATATATACATCATATTTCCTGGCTTCTCTTCAGATCGTATAAATCTTTCACGTTTTACAAATCAAAGGGGTCACGATCTCAGCCACCCATGTGGATAGCTGTTTGGCTTTGAAGGCACACCTTAATATGTGCAATATTCATTTTAACCAGGAACTATAACAATAATAATTGTATGAGCTAACCTATCAATGTGGTTGTACAACAGAATTCATTTGATTTGTAAAAGTAATTACTTTCTCAAGAAAATTTAGGTATGCATGTTGCTTGCATGATCATACCATTTCCGAAGTCTTTTGTAATTTTAAACCAGATTTCCACAGAAAAGCTGCATGTTAAAGTAAAGGACTCAACATGGTAGCATATTGTTACATGATAAAAAATGGTTGGAAATCATCTTTCAGCAGATATAAAATTCAGATTACTGAGGTTAAGAAGGGATCGGTGCTATTAAAACATTTGCAATTTCACATTGTTACATGAAAATAAAAACATGCTTTATGTCTTAAATCTAGGAGAGTAAATTTTTGCTTTCATTTTGTTTAAAGAAGCAGAGTGCCAACTTTGTCCATAGTTCTGTAGTTTTCTTCCAGCTATAGCTGCTCCCTTGAATCTCAGCAGTCTGGTTTCTGATCTATGATCTGCCTTTCCTGGGTGAGCGTCTGGTTGCCATAGTGAGCTCCTTGTTGATTTTTCCTGAGCCAGAGAATTTGCAGTTCAGAGTGTTTGTAGGAGAGTACATGTGTAGATGGGCAATTTCTGCTGTAAAAGATAAGTCAAGCAGGCCTTTAACCAGAACCTGTTGCATTTTAGAAAACCAAGACACACCACATAATAACTGAACATATTATTTTTGTTCTTGCTGTTGTTGGACTTCAGGTTACGACTGACTTATAACAATCCTAAAGCAACCCTGTCAGAAGGTGTTCTTGACACAATATGTTTATAGGGAGTTTATCTTTGTCTGAGGCTGAGAGACTGTGACTTGCTCAAGGTAACACAGGGGGTTTCCATGGCTGAGCAGGAATTTGAGCATCCTTGTCCAATACTGAAGCCAATACACTACACCATTTTACTTGTTCTACATTACTCTTTGTGATTTGTGAAATATAGAGATAATTTGACCGAGATAACCCTGCATTTTTTGGAACACAAATAAAATTAATCACTGTATAAAACAAAAAACACGATGAAAGTGAAATTATTGTCATTTTATCTGATTAGCGACTCATATTAATTGCTAAAAGCAAAGCAAACGGATTAGTGAAATAGTGTCCTCACATGCTAATTTAGTAAAATGTAGTTAAATTTTATTACATTCAAAATCAGTAAACTATAAAGAATGGAAATACAGTTGGCTCCCTGTATCCATGAATTCTGTATCCACAGATGCAACCATTCACTAATTGACATTTTATTTTAAGAAATCTAAAGTTAAACCTTTTTCCATGTTATATATAGGGCACAATTTTACTACTTGTAGTAAATGGGACTCCACTGGGGGGAGGGGGTTCCTGGCCAAACCCAAAAATTTAACATGGGCCCAATGTTGTTGAAATATATCTTCTTCGAAAGAAAAGAGAGCTGAACCAAATAGGTATGAAAAGATTTTGGAAGTTTGTTTTTAGAATTATGTTCCCATATAAATAGGTTATTGACTTCTAATGTTGATGCTTCTCTTTAACCCTGAGGACTAGATTTTTTTTTTGCTTTGGAAAAGGAAGTTGGGAGTTCTCAGAATTCAAATGAACGCCATAGGTACTTACATTGTAATGTGTTATTTAGAGTGTATAATACGTTTTGGGACATGCATTAAATTGATGTTTGAGACCATCTTTCTTTCTTTCTGTTTCCCTGTGTTTCCAGGGCTTCCCACTTTCCGTAATTCACAATGAAGAGTGTCCGTGGAAGCAGCTCTTCTTCCCTCCAGGGTGCTAGTGCCAATGGTGTGGATCTCAGCCTAACAGGACTGCCTATCCAAGTGCTTCAGCGCCCCAGCAGTGCCTCTCCAGGCAAACACATCGCTCGCTCCATTTCTGTCATTACAGAAAACAAGCCCAAACGGAATATCTTAGTGAGTATTGCGGATAAAGCAGTTGTTTTTATTGATATGATTTACCAGCATGTAATAAATATGTTTCCTTTTAATTATAGTGTTTAGCTTCATTTGTATCAATGTGTATGCTTAATTGTTCTGTGTGCGTTGATCAAGGGAGGTTATTACAGTTTTATAATACAATAGATTTTTAACTTGAGGATGCTGGAAGGTAAATTCTGCCCCCCAAAACATGGACTTTCTGTCTATGTTTACCTTGTAGCTAAGGGAATATTGTGGGCTTTATCATGGATTGCAGATATGTACCAAGATTCAGCCATTTCACACAGTGGGCTGCAAGATGGGTGAAGGCGGAGTAGAGTTCTGTATAGTTTAATGTTACTATTTTGGCCTTGTCTTAGGGAATTTTAAAATATTTTAAAAATTCACTGCTACACATTGCTTCTGAGGGAGAAATGACAAAAGGCGTGTTCTAGTTTCATTTTTAGGGCTATAGATATTCTGAGAGAGAAAGAAATACTTAAATAAGGTTTATCAAGACTTCTTGTTCCCACCAAACCTTTTTCTGTATTAGTAAATATGGCAGCGTAACTCTGAATTTAAGGTACATTATTCAAATTAGAAAATAGACTCTTTTCAAATTCATTTAAAGTGTACAGAAATGTACAATGAATTTACACTCTTGTGGGAAAAATCTGTGTCCTTATTTTGTTTGTATAAATATTTTAATTGTAAATAATAAATGTTACTTTAAAAAGCAAAATTAAGGTAACAAGTAATACTGCCAGTGTCACCTTTCAACCCTTCCAGAGTCTGTGCTGTCATCATCATCTGCCAGTGCTACATTAACTTCTTTTTGCTAAGGTGACTGTAGATGGAGTACTTTGATATTCATGCATTAGAAAACTTTAGAAAGCATCTAGTTATGGCCAGCTCTATGTATTACTGCTTTGTGTATTTTTCTCCTAGGAGGATGCTGGGTTTGGCTCTTCTAGAGCTATGAACAATTTGAGAAGATCCAATAGCACCACTCAGGTTAACCAGCAGGTGAATAGTACATTCAGGTGAGCCTTAAAGATATCTCTCTGAAGGGCAAGACAACTGTGTAGGATCTCTCAGGGTTTGTGTTTGCTTTTCAGGGCACATTTGAGAAATTGGGATATTTTGCTTCTAGAGGATCTCTTACAGTTTGAGAAGAAAACTTGGCAGCTTTTGGTAGTGTAAATGAGTTAGCCTCTTGCAAAACAGATTGTGTATGTTTTGGAAATGAATTAAGCAGTACAGTGTTTAAAATCATGCAAGGCAAGGCCCCTGATTAATCCTGTAATTTTATTTTTCTTCAGTCCTGAACACCATCGAGATTTCTTGACTTTGTTTGACAGCAGCTCAGGTGGAAGAAAGAAACTGGCAAGTTTGAGCAAAGTCTCACCAGAAAAGAAAACTACATGGAACATCCTGGTAAGGGCATGGTCATATCAGAAAATACAAATATCAAAGGAACAGTAGTTTGGATTGATGGATTTAGTCCTAAGCTTTGTTTTTTTTAAGCATTTTCTTGCTAAGAAGGGAAATTATCTTCAAGACATTTGTAGCCTTCTCAAATATTTTTGGCTTATGTATTTGTTATTGGAAACTGCATTAAATATTTGAATGGTATTGCTCTGTCACTGGAGAAATGTAACTTCCTGTGTGAAGCTGCCATACCTAGTGCTATAATGAGTTCTGTGTAGAATGTGCCTATATAGACCATTATTGAGTAGCATCCCACTCCAGCACTCATTCTTCCTAAAATTAAAAAGCAGTGGAAAGGGGGCCGCCTGCTGTTCTAATATCCTCTGGCTCATGCCAAAGGGATTAAATGTCTCCGCACTAACACTCAATTCTAGGGCAGCACTAACTCTGAGAAGTGGGCATCCTTTGGAAAAGCTTTAATGTTGCAACCATACAGCAGCAATTACCTTAGTCATTTTAGCTGTGGAGCATTAAATTGGGAATGAGCATAGAAAGACATTTCTAATTTTTAAAAAAACTTGTGAAGAGGCATGAAAAAGAATTCTGTCTTGCAGTCGTTTTTTTTGCTCTGAGCCACCTTTGCTGATTCTATTAATGGCATTGGTTAGCATTTGTTATCAACAAAAGGTTAGCACAGCTTCTGTAGCTTATGAGTGTCAGGTAAATGCAAATACCATGATAATCCCAAGGCTTCAACTTCTTATAAAAGATACATATGCTTCCCTTTGTACATAGTAAGAATAATGGTAGAACTTAGTTGGATACTCTACATGTGCATTTATAAGGGCGTTGATTAAAAGTGCCCGAAGAAGATCTACCAGAAATAACTATAATGCTTTTCTGTAATGCATATTCGTGATTATGTTGTGCAGGATGAGCAGCCCAGAACCTTTCCTGTCCCATCTACCACCAGGGAGGCCCCTGCAGGCATGAGGAAGAAAGAAATGTATGTGCCACTTGCGGCCAACTTCACTGCTAATAACAGGTAGAGAAAAGTATATTGACAACTCGATGTTACTTTTGGTGTCTATGATAAACAGCTGAAGTAGTGCTGCTTTCCTTTCTTCTTTCACCATTTGTTTATGTCCTGCCTCTTTCCCTGTTCAGGCCTCAAGGCAGATTAGGGTCCCTTCATACAGCCATATAACCTAGAACATCAAGCAAATAATCCCACAATATCTGCTTTGAACTGGGTTATCTGAGTCCACACTGCCATATATTCCAGTTCAAAGCAGAAAATGTGGGATTTTATTCAGCTGTGTGGAAGGCACCTTAGAACAATTATAATGGGTATAGCAAGAAATTAACAAAATCCAAAATTTAAAATGTAATGATATTAATAACTGTTAAAAACACAAATCATTGAAAAAGAAGCAGCAAACAGAACTTCCACCACATTATAAAAGGCCCATTACCCCTGAGCAATCAGCCTTCAAAATATGCTAAAAGAAAAATATTTTTGCTTGAGTGCAAAAAGGTAATTAAGGCAGTATCAATCTGACTTTTCTGGGAAGAGAGTTTCAGAGGTAGAAGAAGGCATTGGGAAGGCCTCTCCTAGGTTTCCACCAGGTGAAGGTGATGTGACAGAAAGAATGGCCTCTCCAGAAGATCTCAAACCATGAGCTGATTCATAAGGGAGAAATCAAACTGGGTCTTTTTTTTTGGGGGGGGGGGGGTAAGCAGTTGTAGTATGATTTCTATCGATATTAGAAAAACAACAATATATATTATCCTAATTGGGTTTGGATAATATTTATCTTCAAGTCCACGGGGGAGAACTTAACAGAAACTAATCACACAGTTAGTATTGACAGACTTAACATTCCGTGCAACTTGCATCAAAACAATCCATTTGTCTTATTTTTTCTCATTATTGCTGAAATGTGGCTCTGTTTTTAGTGATCCTTTAGCAGCTCTGTCTTCATTTGACATTCCAAATTAGGGTACCTGGAGCCTTGCCAGGTGATGGCACCTATACTGCCTATAAAAATTCCCATGTGATGCTTTCACTCTCCTTTCTACCATTCACCCTCCTTGTGGTGAGTAAGACTTTGTTTAGATGACAGAAGAATAAGTGAGAGGACCAATGGAACAACAGGGAAATAATCACATCAGCCACACTGTCTCTTTTTTGCTCTTCCAAATACACACCAGACAATCTTATATTGAACCTCATGTAGGTCAGAGCTATCCAGTAGGCAACAGCTTAGAGAAAAGAGGCCAGAGGAAAGGTGAACTGACAGGCACTTTTGTTTGTTGAGATTAATTACTTGTTTGTTTAGTTGATATATTATGGAAACCATCGTGACATGTTTTCCTTCTTTCCTGTGAGGAGTAACAAAGGTGCCATGGGCAACTCCGTCACTACCATGGTGCATAACAACTATTCCATTGCAGACAAGGGCCCTGCACCTAAGAGTTCCAACCAGGCCACAACCTCCCTCAAGTAAGTCCTTATGGATTCCTGTCTTATTCATCCTTTCATAGGGGACTGCAAGTTGTTGCAGTTAGAAAGCTTTGCCATGGGACCAAGGCATGTAAAAATATGCATCGTGGACTATTGGTGTTTTCTTTCCTTAGCAATATTATCAAAGCCACCTCTAATGAAGACACAGAGAGCAGCAGCTACTTGAAGTCTCAGAAAAACCTTTCAAGTAGTAACATCCTGGCCCGGAACAACAATGCCAGCAGTAGCAGTAAGCTGCTGAGAAGGCAGGAAGTGTCAGAGGAGGAGGCTGAGCGGTGAGCATGAAGGACACAGTATTTAATGATAGGAGAAAAGATAACAGGATGGCAGATCGTAGCAAATGATGAGCGAAGTCACAAGACAGCTCAAAAAAGAGTACATCTTTCCGTTTCCCCTTTGCATCTTTAAGAAGAATGCATCTGTAGAAATCATGCAGCCCTTCAAATATTGTCACTTTGTTTTATAATCATTAGTGAAAAAAGCTGGGAGTTGCAGTTCAAGAACATCTAGGGAGCCATGTAATTCTCGCTGTGTTCTGAGTTTTTGATTCAACATTTTATATAACACTAACAATTAAGACTCTTTCTAAATATAAGAGCAATATGTGTAGGAGCAGGTTTTTGTGCATGACACCTCTCTGCCTATCTGCCTGCCTGCCTTCCTTATGGCAAGATTTGCTTTTCTAGACACATTGCTTGGAAAGCAATACTCACTACTTCTTTGCCTCTTTGTACCCTTTCAGGTTCATTAACCAGGTCAACTTGGCAGCTGTAACCATCCAGCGCTGGTACAGACGGCATTCACAGAGGCACAAGGAAGGAGTAGCTCAACTTGGGCACTTAATAGCTACTAAAAGAGAGGTCTGTCTGTTGCATGTGTGTCTTATGAAGAAGGCTTTTATGTTTCTACCCCTGGTAGTTAATGAAACACAGTTTCCCTGCCATGGAAGAGTACATCATAGACAAAGTTAGCCCTGCTACTAAYGCTGGAATTCAAGGCTGAGGAGTAAACAAGCTTGGGAAGCTTTCTTCTACAGGAAAGTGACCCCCCCCCCCCCACACACACACACTTACTTTTTGAACTCCTCAACCCTGGAAAGCAAAGTATTTGTGAGGCTCTGGCAGATTCTTCTTTCTTAGATTTCACTTAGCTTATGTAGCATGTTTTCTTCTGTGAAAGGAGAAGATAGGATAGTGCTTTCTCTGGATACTTCTGAAGAATAACTGTAGGATTGAGTGGGTACAACTAATGATTCAAGATTGCATCAAGTACATTTTGCTGTGTATCCAGAACAAGTTGCTGTGATTAGGTCATTTTGACCCTTCTGGTGTTCTGTCAGTGAAATTGTACCTCCTTGTTCTGCCATGACATTTGCTCTTTAAAAATAATAACCTTGTTTTGGAGTTATTCCCAGACAAAACAAGAAGCCTTGTTAGTTTTTCAGATCACCCAAGGCTGCATAATTTGGTGTCAGTCATACCTTCTTCTTCAGATTTTTTGACAAGAAAACCTACTTGTCAAAGTAAATTATTCTGATTTACTGCAAATTATACTACTTATTTAAATATTCTACTTCTATGAACCAGTTCGACAAAGAACATGTAATAGTTTAGCAAAAATTAGAAGAATTGACAGGCGTACTTAAGATACCTAATGTCTGATCCCTTGTCATTCTTTTCTCTAAAGACATGAAGTGAGAATTTTGACCTTAAAAACCCATTCTTTACAGCTACTCAACAAATGCCAATTTGGTATTTACAGCCCTCTGCTTTCTTCTGAAATGGATCTTATGTTCTGAAATTTGACTGTAGTTAAGGGAAAGTCTTCTTCTATAGCAGGGAAGCCCTGTTGTCAGTTAATTTCCCCACTTCTGTAACTGTCAGTACTCTGTTGTTGGAAGTTGTTGATCTTTTTTCGTGAGGGCCCTGTAACTTGCTGGTCATTTCAGAACAGGATGACATAAATTAAGAGCACCTTGCTATATAGTTAAATCATTTCTGTAGGTTGGATTCTCAAGAGGAGGAAAAACAAAATTCTTGTACAGGAAAATTAGAGAAGCAGTTCATTCTGTCATATGCTACAATGGAATACTAATAATTGAACCTGAAGAAACAGCCCTTTTTGTTGTTTATTCTTAAGGAAAGGCAGCAGCAACTCACAGAAGAAGGCAATATCTTAGACTTGCAAAAGAGGCGAGATGAAGAGAGGAGGAAGATTCGAGAGGAGAAGGCACGTCTTGCTAGGAAAGCAGCCATCCTGGTACGAACTTGGTGACAACACTGTTAGTTTGAGCATGCAGGGAAATACTTCTGTATGTTTTCTTAATGTATTAAACTAGGAGTTGGATCACAGTGGCTTTGTTCTTAATTGTTACTAGTACTATATGTTTGAGGAGCAAATGGACCATGACATGGCACTAAAACCATTTTTTTTTCATACAGGAGCTGCAACAAAAGCGGGCCCAAAAAGCCTTGGATTCTCAGTGCATGGTTCAGGAGGAGTTAGCAGTGGTGAAAGAAGGCAAGAAAGCCTCAAGAAGAAAACCTGAAAAGGCTGGCTCTGTGAAGAATATCAGCCCTGCCAGCAGTATAATTAAAGCCAACAACACAGGTGAGAAATACTAGCAGATCTTGAAAGTGTAAATCCAGATGATTCTGGAATTTTGCTCTAGCCCAGCTCCCATGGACTTACCTTGGATCTGTTGGGCACAAAATCATCTTGTCAAATTGCCAAATGCAGTCGGAAAGTGTTTAATTATAGACTGCAGTGAGGAGGTGCAAGCAGTATGTGCCATGTCAGAGATTTTTAGGATAAGAAATATGTTCACAGAAGTGTAGATTGCCTAGGCAACCTACATGCTGATTTCTGCAATGTTTGGCTTACTGAGAGGCCCTGAGAAGATTACTTCAAAACAAACGAACTCCAGAGGTACCATAACTGAATTACACATCACAAGTGTTGTGGGTTACAGTTCAATTTGTTCCCCAAATACATAGTCACTGCCTCCATCTGTACTGGTTTGCCCAGTTACTTGGTATAAGGAAATCAACTAAGAGACCAGTGTGTACTGTCATTGGAAATTGGTGAGCATCCCCCACAATTGCCATCAGACAAGCTCTATACTTTCATGTTTGTCATGGAAAAGATTTCCCAATCCAATTCTCAAACCCCTCTTAACATCCTTATGCAAGCTCCACCTGTACATTCTTGTGGGTACTGTTCCCACTGTAGCAAATGTTTTCTGTTGTTGTTTACAGAAGCCAACTTCCACTTGGCAGTTACAGATACAGAAGAAAATTCTGTCATGGCATATCTGTCTGTTCCAGGACAAAACAAACAACCTGAAGAGCAGCCACAGGTGCCGCCTTCCTTTTTTCCCCATGTTGCTGAAAGAATAGATACCTTTTCTTTTACTCCCTCATTTCCCAGTTTACTCGTTTCCCAGTTTTCTTTGCTGTGGAAGATTCTGTTTAGCTGATAAGTGCCTGGATTGAAAAAGTTGCCTACCTTCACTTTAATGAAACATTAATGATACACACGTGTAGCACCCTGAAAAGAGATTCTGATTTTAGTTTTATTGAGCCTGCAGTGGTGAATTAGTGTTAGTAACCAGAAAAGTTTAGAGTTAGATTTTCAAAAAATGCTCATTTAGTAACAAAAAATCTATAAGCCCTCAGCAATGAGAGAATTAAAGAAATAAAAAAAATATTTATATTATGATTGAATGAAAAATATAACATACAGTGTAAAGTAGAGAAATAGTTTTCTACTATTTTAGAGGACAAGATAGTACATAAGAAATACCTGTATAAAGACAGAAGTCATTTGTGCAAGAATAATGAATTAAGATCATTATCTTCATAAGAAACCTCAACTAATCAACAAATCATATTGCTGTCTAATATTTTGTCCTAAAAATTCCAGTAAAGTAGTTAAAGTGTATTCAGTTTCCAATGGGCCAGATGCAAAAAAAACTAAAGCTTATTCCAAACAGGAGAGATGGACCTCAGGTGTTCTCAACTAAATCAGATTGTTTTATTGTTTACATGTTTAATAACCAGAGTCTTTAATGTTGTGTACAGATAAAAGCAAAATAAGTCAACATCAAAATATTTTTTTAATCGGATTCAAACAAAATAAAACTAGCATTTTGGGTTTTCTTTTTGTAATAGAACTGAAAGGAAAAGAAAGCAAAAGAGATAACATGGTGCATATACCTAAACAAAAATATTTGGGAAATTTTAAATGTCTGAACCTGTCACCAGAATGTACGTCATTGTTAAGGATACCCAGATATCATCCCTGTAAAGCTTAGCTCACTTCTAACCACCCAACTCAGAGAGTCCTGGAGGGGACTTCAGCTAAACATCTTCAGATCCTGATATAGAACAAGGTACTCCTTCAAGTAACATGACCCTAAACTGTTTAGGACTTTAATAGTTCAGATAAATATAGAAAAGTCACTTGAAAATAAACTAGTGAAAGTTCAGCTTCACAACAGAATAAAATACATTGTTTAATTAAAAACCAAAAGAAATTGATTCTGTTCAAATTAAACATGAGCCAGATATCTAGCCCAAAAAATTACCCCTAACTTTCATCCTAAAACTATGCAACAAATAAAAATCAGTTAACAAATTGAAACTCATCAAAAATATAACACACCTTCAGTTACTGAGACTTGACATTTTAGTTGTACCTTTTCCCAGCTTTTATTACCATTTCTGTGCTGGATTGATGAAGGACATCGAGAGACAGACATTTCAAAGAACTCTTTTCTTTTTTCTTTCAAAAAACTGAGATGTTCAAAAGTTGTTGTTTTTTTTGTCATGTCAGGAGCGACCTGAAAACCTGCAAGTCGCTTCTGGTGTGAGAGAATTGGCCGTCTGCAAGGACGTTGCCCAGGGGACGCCCAGATGATTTGATGTTTTATCATCCTTGTGGGAGGCTTCTCTCATGTCCCCGCATGAGGAGCTGGAGCTGATAGAGGGAGCTCATCCGCCTCTCCCCGGATTCGAACCTGCGACCTGTCGGTCTTCAGTCCTGCCGGCACAGGGGTTTAACACACTGCGCCACCGGGGGCTCCCGGTAGTACCTGAGCATGTGTGAGGTCTGCCGTTATCACTGGAGTTAGGAGTATCATATTTGTATGCTCTTCCACCCTGATGTGTTGATTAAACTTGGCTATATATCAGCGTGTTGCCTCTTGCATCACAGCATTCAAGCCGATGGTTTGCCCTCCAGGACAATAGATCTGCTTAGAAAATCAAGCTATGAGCCAGACTTCTCTCTAGATATCAGTTTTTCTCCATAACTTCTATAGCCCTGTCTTCCCAGTGCACCTTCTCACCCATTCATCTATTGTCAGCTACACATTCTTGATCCAGTCTTACTGTGTCTGCTTTTCTCTGTTGCTTAGGATGTCAGCTCTGGAAAGGTGGCCAGTGAAGACCTGGAAACTATGATCACGACAGCCAGCAGAGCCCAGTCCAAAGTGACCCTTAATGAGCTACTAGACACCCTAAAGCTGTTGGAAGAAGAGCCAGAGTTTCTGTCACCACCAAAGACCAGCAAAGAGGATAAATATGCTTGGATAGACGGGGTAACTGGATTTGGTGAACCAGACATCTTCTTACTTTTGTCTATGGGTCTTTTTCCTTTGGTTGTGTTGAAATGTTACTCTGAATTTACAAACAAACAGATTGTTTGCAGAACTTGTGTTTCAGGAGGTGTTTCCTTCTAGGGCAGAAAAACTATGCAAATGAGAGAGAGGTTCCCTTATGCTTATAACATTTTAACAAGCCTTTGGGGTGGGGGCAAATTATGAACTTCAATGGCTCCTACTAACCCAAAACACCCAGGATGGTATTGCTTATGCAACTATCTCTAAGTAAAATAAGTTTGATGAAAGTGTTCTCTTGTATCTAAAAACTTCTGTCTTCTATTTACTCATGTTTGCATCCAATAATGTGCAGCTGAAGTGAACACAGAATTCATTATCCTGGGAAGCTTAGTTCATATGGGCAAGCTAATGTCCACAACAATTTCATATTTATCCACCATCTGTAACATCCTGACATTTTCCCTCTCAACACAGGGGGCAAACTCCAATTCCTTGACTGCTGACAATTTGGAGAAGTTTGGGAAACTGAACTGCTCCCTGGGAGTCCCCGAGGAAGGCACATTACTCTCAGAAGCCAAACTTCAGAGCATCATTAGCTTCTTGGATGAGATGGAAAAATCAGAGCAGGAGCGACCTAGGTCTGCTGCCTCTGCTTCACACCGAGAGGTGAGCTTCCAAAGAAATTCTGTGTTCTTTCAATAGACATAGGTATAGTCATTCTACAAGAAATGGTTATTTGTCCCCAGCTTGAAGAAATGGGGGGAAAAACATTGAGTTTGTAAAATCATGCAATCATCCTTAGATAAGAGCTACGTCTTGCTACTATATCGGCTTCCTTCTAGCACAAATGGCCGATCTTGTCATCTCCTGTGATGACCAATGAGAAGCTTGAGATAATTGGTTCTGCCTCAGGAAATAAAGGGTATGGATTTCAACCAGTAAGATTTGGGTTGATTTTTTTTGGGAAAGATGTTCCTTATAAAGGGGAAAACTTGGGGTACCTATTTATTAGACTACTGAGCACTAAAATGAATACTAGCAGTGACTGCATCTCATTGTCATCATGCTCCCTTGCTGGTTATCTCTCAGGGGATCTTGTCAGAAGAAGAGCTAGCCCACCTGGAGCAGGCCTCAGCCGTTGCCACAGAAGTTACCAGTTCTATCATGAGGTTGAAACTGGAAGTAGAAGAGAAGAAGAGAGCCATCACGTTGCTACAAACGGCGCTGGTGGGTGACGAGAGCCCAATTCCGGGGCAGGTCTGCATGTGCACAGAAGAGGGAAAGATTGACACAATGTACAGCAAAGCCTTAGGTTATTTTACATGTGTCATCCCGAGAAACCAGAAGGGCGGAGCCCTGCTCTCTCTGCCACCTTTGTGAACTCAGACTCACCCTTGAGCATCTTCATGGGCAGAGTCTCTGCGTAGGGATCAGTGTGCCTTTGATCTCTTCTCCCCAGCTCCTCTCTCCCTCCCCCCCTCCCCCTGGATTTAATTTGACAATTCTGCATAGCCTAGTATGTGGGTGTTCTTAAAATGCCCTGGTTATTGCCCCTTGTCCTGGCAGGCTCAGCAGCGGGAGCTGACTGTGCGACATGTCAAAGAGACAGAGAAGGAATTGAGCCACCAGCTGGCTTTGCAGAGGGAGCAGTATGAGGCAGCTATCCAACGGCACCTGGCTTTCATTGACCAGGTAACATCGCACCCCCTTTTCTTGTTTGTAAACAGACAGGGCCTGGAAGATAGAGATATTATCCTATCCATTCTGTTTACCATCTGCTTGCTAGACTCCCTTGTGTTTCTATGTCAGTGGACATAACCAATTGACTGCACTGTGCTTGACTAGGATACAGGTGGATGAGTGGGTGAATAGGAAGATATCTCCTATATCAAATGTCAGCTTGAATTCATTTGCTCTATGATGGCCAGTTAGTGTCCCACTATATGAAATTCAGTTGCTTCCTTATATCTTTCCTTTTATTCAATCTTCAGCTCATCGATGATAAGAAAACTTTGAATGAGAAATGTGAAGCAGTTGTGACTGAACTGAAACAAGTGGATCAGAAATACACAAAGAAAATTGCTCAAATGCAGGAGCAGCATGAGCTGGTGAGGAAATTGCATTAGTACTGTGGTGGTGGGATTGCAAAAAACAAAAACAAACTCGATAGAGTATTTAAATGTTTTCCATTCAATCATTTAGAATCCAAAAAGTGTTTTAGTTGTCCCGTAGAGAATACCTGTTCTGCCAATGAGAGATACACATTTTTGGAAAAGGAAGGAAATTCCTAGACTGCCTATAATAAAGAAGGTACATTATTAACACAATGGGGTTCCCCTTTTCAATCTATTCAGTGCAGAAGGTCTTGAACTGCATTGTAACAACATTTATTGGAAGACCGGATGAACTCAGCACATTTGTTTTTCCTCCATGTTGGAACAATACACTTTATTGGACTGAAATGCAGAGGGAGTGGTATAGTTGCTGATTCTTAAGCATAGTATGCCAGGCTGTATTCATGCCACTCTGCTTGGAGTCAGTACTTGCTTTCTTCCGATTCAGCTGCTACTTTTAAGCTGAAATAAGAGGTATTCATATTTGGAATAAATACAAGTCACTTAATTTTGATTAAAAATCTAAATACAGCTTAGAATTCTTTAAAAAGTCACCTGGCTTGACCAAATATCCTGAAGTTGGAGAAGTAACTACAAAGTCCATTGTTTTCACACTGTGTCTGTGAAATAGATATTATAGTCTTTGCTAGTTTTCCTGGGTTAGTGGATTCATACAGAGGTATCTTCGATGAAACCTCCTGGGCCCAGTGTCAATTCATCCTCCTTTTCTCCGAACCAACACTTACACTGAGTGAAACTGGTTCAAAACTAGCTTTGCAGCTTGGATAATGCATGTTAGATTATCATTCTCTGGACGGCAGGAGGAGCAATCCACTACAGTTGTGTTTTTGGAGTGGTTGGAATTTAAATTTAGTGCTGATTAGGTTGACAACAGCTTTGTGTAAACGTCTGAATTTCACTTATTCAAGAACCCAGTCATAGTGGTTTGCTCCTCCTGTCATCCTAGAATGAACAATTTCTCAGTCTTGACTATTATATAGGATGGGTGCTCATCAGCATAGGTATGTACAGGAGCATCATGCTGATGATATAAAATGAGAAAAGACATGTGTAGCTGAGCAGGGAATGTGCTACCATTCCCTGATACTTGGGTTTATCCCAAACAAGAGTGTACAACACTTTTATCTTTTTCTATTCATCCACAGAAACATGCTTCACAGGTAGCCATTCAATCCTCATGTTGCAATCAAACCTTTTTAGAAAGATTTATTTTGATCAAGTGTCTGTGGAAAGGTGGGTGTAATCAGTAAATCACAGTGGTCCAGACTCATCTGTTAGTAATTTGCAACATTCATTAAGCAGAGATCTTTACTGAAGCTTTTCCATATGCCTTTATAGTTGCCCCTTGGTAGAAGCATGATGCTGGACTTTTTGTCTGATATGATAATGCCTTACTTTTTTTTAATGATCTGACTAGTGACAGTATCATAACACTACAGACAGGAGTGTGTGTCGATACCATGCTTCTTATCTTTGTTTCATAGTAGTTGATGGAGTGGAAACTGCAGAAAAGATGGGATGTTTTGTGTCACTTTGATTTCAAGTCATTTCCGACCCATGGCAACACTATCACAGGGCTTTCTTGGCTAGATTTGTTCAGAAGAGGCTTGTGTTGTTGTTTTCTAAGACTGAGAGTGTGTGACTTGCCTAAGGTCACCAAGTAGGTTCGTGACTGAGTAGGGTTTCAGACCCTGGTCTCATAGTCCAGTGCTCACACCATCACAATATGATGGTTTAAGGGGGATGGCCATCAGCTTTAGATCTGCATTAGCACTTTTTCCTGCATTAAGGAGGGACCTTAGTTTCTTTTAACTGTTTTGGTTCTTTGGTGGAAGTCCTCTTAATGCTTGGAATAGTCTTGTCGTAGGAAGTCCTTTGTACAGATGCAATAGTCCAGCTGGTCCATTTGTTGCAAAAGGATGTGTTCAAGTGGCTTTCCATTTTCTAAGGAATACTCTTGTCTTCTGCATCAGCTGCTTCCTTGCATCCTTCCTTCAACGGTCTTTAGTTCATGCTCTTTCCATTTCCCTCTTGCTCTTACTTCTCCTCTTTCTCTTTAGGTCTGGCGCACTTTGGGTCCCCTCTGTGAGGTAAACCTTTTCTGTGTACAGTCTTCAGATTCAGACTTTGTCTCTTTCACTTTTCTGGATCCTATGAGTGCAATTGCCACTGAATTGTTGAGGTGGTACCAAGATTTCTCTTCTTTTGGCCATAGAGATAGAATGGATATTAGCAAAAAGCTGTTCCTTGATAGTGATACGCTGCATATATCTGCTTCAGTGAACACATCAGACATTATGCAAGAAAGAAACCATTATTTAACATTCATCCTTACTGTTCAAATAAACAGCTGTTTGGTAAAGTTGCCTATGAAATAGTCCTCGCAAATATGTTTCAAGTACTTTGGCATGTGTTATTGTCTACACATTATTTGGAGTGGTGCATTATAGGCACAAGTTCAGGTACCTTCTTAGTTTATAAGTTGGAGGAGATGAGTGTGCTGAACACAGATATGACTAGGTGAAGACAGTACTGCTTTCTGACACCTCTTAGCCTGGTACTTTCATTGCTGCATATTGTTAGTATTCAGGGAAGATATATATGATCTGAGGTTTGCTGTTGTTTTCCTTTTCTTAACATTCAGGAAATCAAAAAGCTGAAAGAGCTCATGAGCGCCACAGAAAAAATCCGCAGGGAGAAATGGATTGATGAAAAAACCAAGAAGATCAAAGAGATCACTGTTAAAGGTATATATGGACTTTCATGGGTGTGTTGTATTCTTGTATAAGGAACTGCCATTTCACCATGGAGTTATTGGTACCACAGGTTTGATCCTTGTTAGTACTGTTGATTCCCTGCTCTTAAACTGGAGCCACGAAACAGATCAAATTTCATCCCTTGTGTAGGACAAAGGAAAATCTTCCTTTTTCTTTGACTTGTATCCTGCCTTTCTCCTGGCACAAATCTCCTGGCCAGATTTGTTGATTTTAGCTAATAGTATTTCTATTTTAAGGTATTCCTATTAGAAGCAGAGGTCAGATAGTTCCTTGCTAATCTCTTTCTCTAGCTCAGTTCTAATTATCAATATATTGCTGGCTTTGTTGTTGTTTTGCCACTGAAATCATGGTGACAGATCACCCATAGGATTGGAAGATTTTTTGTTATCCATATCATAGACTTCAAGCCTGAAATTCAGTAAATTGATTAACTGTCAGGAAGATGTTGGTGAACATCAGTTTTCTTTGTGTGAAGAAAATGATCTGCTGTGAATAAAGAATGCAGATCTGCATGAAAGTATTTATTATAATGTACTTTAATTGCCACCAGAGCCCCTGGTTAAACAGCTGAGCTGCTGAACTTGCTGACCAAAAGGTCAGTGATTCAAATCCGGGAAACAAGGCGAGCTCCCACTGTAAGCCTCAGCTTCTGTCAACCTAGTAGTTCAAAAACATGCAAATGTGAGCTGTTCAATAGGTACTGCTTTGACAGGAAGGTAACGGCATTCCGTGCAGTCATACTGGCCACATGACCTTGGAGGTGTCTACGGACAACGCCAGCTCTTCGGCTTAGAAATGGAGATGAGCCTCACCTCCCAGAGTTGGACATGATTAGACTTAATGTCAAGGGGAAACAATTACCTTTTTAATTTAATGGTGTTATGCGTTTTGAAGAGGAATGAATACAGAGCAAAAGGTAGAAACTTACCAAGAGAAAGGCGCACCAGGCAAGCCCTTGTTGTGACCGCCTTCCACCTGGAAATCTATGTCCTCATTGTGAAAGTCCATGTGGGTTCAGAATACATCACTTGGAAGATAATCATACTCAGCCGTAAGTGATTGTCTGTGGTGATGATGATGGCAGTAATAGTTATATGCAGAGGTTAGCTATTTTGGCAAGTGATAGTGCTAGAAAAAGAGGCCATAGGGTAGATTAGAGAGTGGGTTTGCTGTGGTAGTATGCACAAAAATATACATATGGGCAATCTACAGCTCTCTCATGTTCACCGTTTCCCCCATTCAGGTCTGGAACCCGAGATCCAGAAATTGATTGCTAAACATAAGCTAGAGATCAAAAAATTGAAAGCACTGCATGAAGCAGAGTTGCTACAGTCAGACGAACGAGCTGCCCAGCGCTACATCCGCCAAACTGAGGAGCTGAGGGAGATGCTGGAGCATGAAAAAGAAGAGCAGGGACAGCGCGAGAGAGAACTGGCAAGGCAACGGTATGAAGGGAGCAGGGAAGGCAAGGATGGGAAAATGGAAGAGGACCATTGCAAAAGAAGGGTCTGGGTTCATGGCAGCATTTCAGGACTGGCCTTATGGAGAAGCTGTGCATAAAAACAGATGGTAACAAAGTCAACTACTTGTTTCTAGTATTCCTTCTTGATGGTTTTGTTGCTAAAGCATTCTCTTTCAGAAAGTGACATTCCAATTCGGGTTCACTTATCAGGTGATACCTATCTTAAAAACTGGATGTAGATTCATGCACTGCACTGTGTATTACTGTGTGTGTGTATCTGGCATGCAGATGAGCATTTGCCATGAACTTGCATTGTATATCTCTGCCTATAAACTGCACTGTAGTTATTCTCTTCCCAGTCTTGGAATCAAAGAGCAGGTGCTTGGTATTGTTCTATGGGGGTGAGGCAGCAAGTAAATAGACTAGGCTGTGAGTGGCATTCTTTGAAAAATACCTTCTCTTACCTTTATAGGCTTTGTGTTGAGCTTTTAGTCAAGATTTCCTTATGGCCTCTACTGTAGGGCTTTTCTTTTCTGCAGTTTTCATGCCTTCTAAAGGAAATCCAGCCCCACATTTCAGTCCTAAGCCTCATGGCTGAATTGATTCATGGCCTTTTATATCCCTCAAAAAGATGGTCTCTCCTCTTCCATTTTCTCTTAGCAGAGACAATCACTGATGTTGCTTGCCTTTAAATATTGGGCCATGCCAAAGTTACAGGTCCCTTGGTAGTGCCCTGTCTGAAATAGTCCTTCTACACAGGTATGAGAAGCAGCTGGAGCAAGAGGAACAAGCTTTACAGCAGCAGCGGCGTCGGCTATACAGTGAAGTGGCTGAGGAGAAAGAGAGGCTCAATCAGCATGCAGCCAGGTGAGAGGACGCATGCTGAGTTCAGAAATGAAATGTATATCTAGAATCCATATGGTTTGAAGTGCAGACCACAGGGAAAGAACCCACAAAGTATTTTAATATCGCAACAGAGTAACAGAGCTCAGGACCATATCAAACGTGTATTGTTTCCATCATCAGAATGTCATATTCCGAACATAAAACCCAACTGAAATTGGAGCCGTTTCTTTCATTTACAGAGGAGATCCTTACAAGAATAAAAATGTTTGTATATGTGACTTCCTCTTGCATTAAAATGTACTAGAAACATGGTGGCCAGGTCCTTTGGGCAACAAGAAGCCCCCTCCCTATTATCCTGCATTGGAGATCAGTTTTCCTCTGTTTCTCTTGAAATGATGTTTGTTCAGCCCCAGGTTAGGTTTATAACAATATTGATCTCTGTTCTGCAGGCAACGGGCTGAGCTGGAGGATCTGCGGCGGCAGCTAGAAGAGAACAGCTCTGTTGTCACCAAAGCTTTGAAGGAGGAATATGAAAAAGGGAAGGAAGAGCAGGAGCGATGCCATCAGGTCTGTGGTCTTTCTATAACCTTTGGGATTTCTGCCTGTTTTCAAACATACTTTATCACTTACCAGTAACTAAGGGTTTTTTTTTCTTCATGTTCTGACCTCTCCCTACTTTCCACAGCTGATGCTCTATTTTTTAAAGTACATCTACATCTGTTGATCAAAGGGAATCAATTCCCCCTGATTTCCCAGCAAAAAACCTCATGTTTCAAATTATGCAGCAATGCTCTGCATTAGACCTCTTCCTACCCTTTTGAGTTTGGACACTTTCTCACAGAAGGAACGTCATGTGGCATCCTGTACAGGACAGCAGTAGACTTACTCTTTCAAGATTTTTTTCTGTCAGAGAACTGAATATAAGTTGTCTAGGACAGGAAAGTAGAAAACCCTTTCCTCCTATAATCCTCACTGGCCATGTCAGTTCTAATTGATTGTTCTAGGGCTAATCCAAATCTTTTACAGCACCTTACTTTAGAGCAGGCACCCTCAGACTGCAGTCCTTCAGCTGTTTGGGCCTCCTCCCCCCCCCCCCCCCCCCCCCCCCGAGTTTCTGGGAGTTGGAGGCCAAAACAGCTTTAGTGCATTCAAGTACAGCCTCATTCTCCTTCCAGCCTCTTTCCTGTTCAGTGAGGAACAGGACTTGGGTTGAAAGGCAAGGACACATAGAAACAGGCAAGCAGATTGGTATTTTGTCAGCCAGCTTGACTAACAAACCTATTTACCCATGAAGACCTTGAACCCACCATACAGAATGAGGCTGGAAACATAGGATAATTTTTAAAACAGGTAATGGTAGTAAAACATTGGCTTCCCTGCTATTTACTTGAATGTTTTGTGTCCCCCTTCTTCTTTGCTGTCTTAAAGGATTTAAAGTTGATAAGGAATAAAGGGAAAGCTGTCTTCAGCTCTGCCCTTTTGTTTGCTACAGGTGAAGACTGTCTTCACCAAAGCTCATAACTTGCAGGGCAAAAACTGGAATGATCTTAATCTAGTACTCCTTAATCCACATCCTTCAGTTGCTAATATCTAGCTATGCTAAAAGAATAATGGAATTTTATTCCAGATGATTCAGTGATTCCTTTTCAGAATCATCCAGCCAAATTATGTCATGCCTTGTATTCTGGAGAGAGGAAGGGAACTTTGGGAGGAGACTTTGTTTCTCTTACTTAGTGTGTTTCTTCCTTCCTCAAGGCAGAGGTTCAGGCCCTAAAGGTACAGCTGGAAATAGAGAAGCAGGCTTGGGAAGCCAACTATCTGAAAAAGGAGGTAATTTTATTGTTTCACTCTTTAAGTCATATTCACTCATATTTCATTGTTCAAGTTAAACTTGTGTGGTGTTTCTTGCACTGTTCTCAGGAAGCCTGGTTGCTCACTCGGGAGCGAGAGTTGAGAGAGGAAGTTCGGAAAGAGAGGGACAAGGAGATTGAACTGGTAATACAGCGGCTAGAAGCTGACATGTCCTCCTCCAAGGAGGAGTGTGAGAGAGTCACAGAAAACAGGTAAAGCATTGGTATATGAGAGTGAGAGCTGGTTGCCACAGTTTTTACCTGCACTTCCTGAAATGCTCTTTATAAAGCTGTCTGATTTTGTTTGTCATTGTGCACCATGGTCTTCAGTTGGGCCTGCTTGCTCAGGAGAGAGGTATTTGCAATTAGATTTGTGTATTTGTACAGCTTGTTTAAAAATCTGGGTATCTGCTTTTTGAGAACTCTTGGTTTACCTTTTGGAAATCCTCATTTGCTAGCCGTTCTTAACTTGTGGTCCATGGACCCCTGTGGGCCACAGTGTTCTCACAGGAGGGGCACAAAGAAAACAAAGAAAGAGTCTAGATCAGGACAAACTTCGGCCCTCTAGGCGTTTTGGACTTACTGGCTGTTAGGAATCATGGGAGTTAAGGTTCAAAACACCTGGAGGGCTGAAGTTTGCCCCATGCCTACTCTAGAGTGTAGGAAAGTGCTTCCTGACCAGGTTGTGAATGTCTGAGTGTGCTCTTGGTTGTGCTATGTGACATCAATGGGCTTGCTCTCTCCCTCTCCCCTTCTGCCATTAGGAAGCAAATCAATTGATGTGGAGACTCCACTGACCTCACAACTCCTCTCTTTTGCCCCTATCCCCAGTCTCGGGATGGCATCTAGTCAAGGACGGGAAGGGAGACTGTGCCTGTGCCTCCACCCTCTGTGGTTTTTTTTGTTTTTGTTTTTTGTTTTGTCGTGTCAGGAGCGACTTGAGAAACTGCAAGTCACTTCTGGTGTGAGATAATTGGCCGTCTGCAAAGACGTTGCCCAAGGGATGCCCTGATGTTTTGATGTTTTATCATCCTTGTGGGAGGCTTCTCTCATGTCCCCACATGAGGAGCTGGAGCTGATAGAGGGAGTACATCCGCGCTCTCCCTGGATTCGAACCTGTGACCTGTCGGTCTTCAGTCCTGCCGGCACAAGGGTTTAACCCACTGCGCCACCAGGGGCTCCTACCCTCTGTGTTGAGCGACTGTTGAATACATATTTGATTCATGTTATGGTTTTAAATCTTGAGTTGAGTCTTGGTGGTCCATGGCAATAAAGGAGATTTAAGAGTAGCTCCTGGTTAAAAAAAAGTTAAGAATCACTGCTGTAAACTATTATGGTTCCTGTTAGGCTCCAAAGAAGATGTACCAGTAGATTTCCTTCTGTATTCGTCTGGTTGAGTCTTCTTGTGCCCCATTCTCTCTTTTATTGCTTTCTGCAAAGTGCCAAACTGCTTAAAGTAAAAGGCAATCACCTTGAGTTTGCTGGTTAGATCACCATGATTTCTTTGTGACTAGATACCTCAGTTCTTCTCTTCAGATTTTAATGTATAGACTAATTTCCATTCTTACAGAGTTACTCATCTGCATTGCAGTTGCTGTTGCTGCAGAATTCACATTTTCTGTGTCAGGCCCTGCAAGGAGGTGTTAAATTGTGTGTTTCAGCCTTAAAGATAGATAAACTTAACTGGAAACAGTTTCCTTCCTTAACACATTATATTCAGAATACTGGTGAAATAATAATTTATATATTTTTGTTGCATTGCCTTGTTTGTCCTTGGTGGTGATGAAATGCTCCACAATGTGAGCCCCAAACCAGTTTCTACAGAACACTGAAAACTCCTCATCTCTGTGGCTGTGTATCTGACAAATGTATGCTCAGAAAGATGATGGCTGGAATGGGTTGTGCTTTATAGTAAACAGCTTGTACTGTCCTAGGGTTTTTTTTATTGATTTGAATGCTAAATGTTGCTTTTTTGGACTGTGGTTGTATTCTTTTGTTCTTTACATATTTTGCTTTATATTAAACATCAAGTTATCTACAGCCACTACAGTCATACAATGATACTGATATTATAATTTTAATGTTTTCATAATTTAAAAGTCAGCTCAGCAGTTAGTCATAAAGTCTTTGTTTTTGCTATTCAGACTAAAGAGAGCGCGGGACAAATATGAAGCAGAGCTGCAAGAACTGGAACGGTCAGAACGCCGGCTCCAAGAGCGCTGCAATGAACTGAAGGGGCGTCTGGCAGAGGCAGAAGGGGAGACTCTCCGTCTACAGAGCCTGCTGCGTCATAAGGAACAGGAGGCAGAGGATATCCGAAAGGTGAGTGCTTGGAAAGGTTCTTGGTTTTGGATAATACCAAGTCGTATAAACTGCTGGGAACTCTTTTTCAGGATTAGATAGATCTAAGGATAAAAGTATTTTGGCCCTGGGGGACACTTTGAGCCTTGGCCTCTTTGAAACACCTGGTTCTTCATTGTGCATATTCTGTACACCTGGAGCCTGAATCCCTCTCTCTGTGCTTGGTGTAACAGGTAAGGGACCAGCTAGCTCAGGAACGCAGCAGCCTTTCGGAGGTTATACGGCAGGAGTTTGCTGACCGGTTGGTGAGCACAGAAGAAGAAAACAAACGGCTCAAGGCAGAGATGGCTGAACTTCGTGCCCGCCAACGCTTAGAACTGGACAGAGTGACCCGGGACAAGGAAGAAGAGCTGGAAGAAGTGCATAAGAGGTGATCCTTGTTCTTGCTTTCTTTATAGATATTCAGAGTTGACCTAGTTCTGTAATAGTGCTAAAACTATGAGTTAACATGTCTCAGATTATTTTTGTGGCTGTCATCATTCCCTCTCTCTCATGCTATCATCTATTCACAGCATATGTGTCCTAGCTGATGGTTTGCTGAGTTACAAACTAACCAGTTCTGTTTTAGTGCTACACCAAGCAGTCACATAGTAGAAGATACTCCTGTGGCATGTCAGGGATGACGAAACTCCACACTAAAAAGGGAGGCCAAAATTATGTAACAAAATAATTACATTTCTGCCCCAAGAAAAGCGGATGTATCTGGCCTTTGCAGAAGTATGCAAGTCCAAAAATGCCATGAATAATGGGTTTGCCATTAGTTGATGGCTAACTTGAAAGCAGAGCGATGAGGAGAGTGATGAAGCAATGCACATGTCCAGCACAGCTGCTAGAATTCAGAGCCATAGTTCTGTTAGTCCAAACCAGGATGCAAAAGGATCTTGTAGCATCTTTGAAAATGAGAAATATTAGTTGCATATGTTTTGTAGATTTAAATCTGCCTTATCAGATGCATGGAGAGAAGTGCCTGGGAGCAGAACTTTATGAGCAGGTTATATGATAGGAGTAGAAGTGTCAACAGCTGTGGGTATGGTGATAAGTAGCCAAGGTGAGTAGATAGCCGTATGAATGGTGAAGGGCATTACTGGAATGTAATGTGACGTTGGCTTGGAGCCAGAAAGGAAATGTGATAAAACTGGCTAAGAGAAGCTGGGATGTTAACTAGAAGCCATGTCTCTGTTCAGCCCACTGTTGATGGCCTGGAATTTGTGGATATGTTCCAATTTTGCAGTGTCTCTTTCCAGCCTTCCTTTGTATTGTTTTTTTAAGGACTTTTGTGCTGAGGTCTGAGATGGAATGGCAAGGAAGAGGGAAGTGTGCTGTAGCTGCTTTTTGTGTATTCCCATTCCTCTTTTATGTGCATTTGTCTTATGATGCTGAAATGATCCCTTTGCAGAAGCAAAGCTGGTTATATTTGCTTAAAAACTAGTATCTCTCTCTTATTCTTAAAGAAGACCACGCAATAGGTAGAGTAGGACATCTTGTTCTACCAGCTAATGGTTTTACATGCATCTTCCTCCAGAGAGCCTACCTACTTTGCTAGTGTATTTTCCTCATTAATTGCATTATTTTAACACACACTCAAAAATCTGATCCCAGCACACACCCAGCTTTGCTTAGGGCAAAATCTTTATATTAGGATGGGCAAAGCATGGTTTTCCAGATGTACTTGGAATCCATCCCCAACAACCCCTTACCATTGACAACATGGACTAGGGCTGATTGGAACAGCTCTCCAGCAATGTCTGGAGTGGGGGATTTTGCCCATCCCTGGTTTATAAGGGGTGGTGATGGCCGACAGGGAGCTCTGGCGTGGGCTGGTCCATGAGGTCACGAAGAGTTGGAAGCGACTGAATGAATAAACAACAACAACAACTGGTTTATAAAACTTCTCACTTGGTTTGGAGCAGCAGAGCAGCCAGGAAAAATCAACCTGGTTATTTAATGGCATCTTTTAGCATCACAGATGCCTGTAACCTAAAGAAATCACAGCTTTTCCCCAATGTTTTGTGTTGCATATCTCAAAGTACCATGCCTGTTCTTCATGCTTGCATAGTGTTTTTACAATTTACTGCATGGGACAAATCAGGAACGTGGCCTTTTCCCGCATGACACTGACACTGGCCATTTTATGGAAAGCGCTTCACAAGATTTGAGGGCTTTTAAGGAAGCTTAAAGAAAAGACAGTAGTCCTTCTAGAATTTGAGTACACTTCTTTTTTGTCTTTTCCCCAGAATCTGATTGTGATAGCTTTATTGTTAAATACCTGGGTTTCATTCTGGGTTTTGCCTTCTCTGTAGGGTGAAAACGGCAATTGTGAAGAAAGAGGAGGCCGTCAGTACCCTCCGGAAACAGTATGAGGTGAGCTTCTTTGAGGGCTGCAAGGTTCTTTGATTTTGTATGGTGAAATCTTAATTTTAATGTGAACAGGTAAAGAATATGATGATGAGAATTGGCCCTCTGCCATGTAACGTGAAGTTGACCCTTGAGTTAATATTGCAGAACATGAGTGAATCTAGATGTACATTTGTATCATAAAGTATTTAACAACTATTGTAATAAGGAAATGTATTAATAATTCTTAACAATGTAGAGAAAATAAGATGGCTTCCATTAATATTTCCCATGACATCCTAAAGCAACAATCTGGTAATTTTCTCCCTGTCACTTGATATTTAGCTTTATGTTTTTCTAACTCTTAGAACCATATTATCAGTCTACAAAATAGTTTTATTTCTTCCAAATCTGTTTGAGATTACTGGAGAATGACACATCAGGTGGACTATCCTCTGAACAAAATGCAGCTCCTGTCTGAGTATATCTAAAGCCAGTGGCCCATCCTTCCTAGTATTCTGTCCCTTGTAGTAACCAAGAGTGGATGTTTTGGAAAGGAGGCAGGGAAGATCTAGCTGTCACGCACACACTGATGTATAAGGCTGTTTTAGAAGTAGTAAGATGCACACTCAGTCTTGCCCTCCTTTTTCTCCTCCAGTGGTATTTGTTCAACTGAATTCCCTTTTCTTTGCAGGCGGCTGTGAAAAGAGCAGATCATTTAGAAGCCCTCTTGGACCAACAGCGAAAACAGTTGCTAGCAACCAAGTAGTAACCGTACCAGTAGTCTTATAAGGGAAGAATGTCATGATCATGCACAGGAAAAGAAAGTGGCGTGCTGTGATCTCCAAGAGACTAAGATAAAATGAATGCTGATCTGTCTGTGACTGGGAGGGATTCGTGTTCTCTTTCTCTGTCACTCTCGTTAATAATTATTATTTCTTAATTTGTTATGTTACTTTGTGCCTACGATCTGACCTCGTGTACAAGAAACCTGGGCTGTATCCCAGTTCTTGCTGATGTATTTTGACAGTAAAGTCCAGCCAATTTTGTAAGAGGTCAGTCTCACCATGATCTTTCGCTTAGAAGCCCATCCTATTTGCGGAGAAGGGTGGGAGGCTAGGCTTTGCCGCTCAGAAGATACCTGCCTGTTACTGGATCCTACATGGGTCAGATGCCACTAGCTCAAAATCTTATCAGCAGTTTTTGTCTCACAGTTTTTTGGGAAATGTTTTGGGTCAGACCAAGACACCTGGTAAATTCCATCCCTTGTTTGGATTACATGTATTCTTCCTTGCATCCCGTTAAGAGGGATAAGCCTATGATTTTGGTTTGCTAGTGTCGGAAAGGGCCTCTCTCTAGTCTTTTTCACTATGGAATTGAGTTTGATGTGGTGGAGGGCAGAACAAGAAGAGGGCGTTACTCATAGAATTGAGAAGGAAATGTTTTCCTATGTCAGAATATATTGGTGCCTTTCCTGTGTCAAATTTATTGGTACTGTGTGTTTCCTATGACAGATGCACAACATGTGGGCCCAGGCTCCTACCTTTATAGCAGAAGTCAACCTGCTTTTTCCTACAACTTTTTAAGGGCCCTGCAAGTGGTGGTTGGGGGGACGGGACAGGACAGTGTGGTCTGACTTCAGAAACTGCTGATCATCTACTAATAACGAGTGAAGTGTTCTCAATGGAGATTGCTATGTAGTGGGAACAAGCTGAGTTGGAGGTGGATGGAGGATTGTAGGCATGTTCTTAGGGGTGGGACACAGCTCCGGACACATGAAACATGTCAGGCCAAGTAAGCTATGACTTTTGATGTACACCATGCAGATCTCTTCTACGTGTGATAAACTGCAAGGCTGAGGAAGATTTCATTCCGCTAAATTCTGAATTACTTAGGTAAATTACTGCACTCTTGAAATTCCAGATAGCTTCATATGTAATGAACAAAAAAGTCTCTTAAATTATGTTCTTCCGATTCAGAAAGAAATATGTATGCTATTGATGAAAAGAGGTCACACACACTGGTTGCAATCCACTGTGGCTCACAACAGTGTAGTAGTTCTACATGCAAACCTGTATTGAGCTGAGCCACACTCCACCCACCCAGACTTGCCCCCTCATTTCTGCACAGCTGTCATGTGCCCCATGGGGGGCAGGCAGGCTCAGATGCCTATGTACCCACACCCAGATAGGAAAGGATAAGGTTTGTGCTGAGACCAGTGGATCTCAACACTGCTACAATCATTTCATGCCAGTTTATGAATTCGCATATCTTTTTATTGTTTTCTGATGATATTCTGATTCATTCACCACTTTTGTTAAGCTGTCAGGAGAATGTCACATTCTTGTTTTGATGCTTTTTCCCCCTTTGGTCACAAGATAGTGGAGCCAGATCAATGTCAATCATAGTGGAGGTCTGACGCACCAAGACCTGCTTTGCCTTTTGTGATTTTACAAAATTAGACCTTTTTTCTTAACTTAAATGCAAAAAAGAATACTGAAATGCAAATAATACATCATGCAGAATTCTATTTCCTGTCAGTCAGTTATTTCTGCTAACCAGATGGCGGATGAGACATTATGTGGGAAAAGAAAATTTGGAATAGAGATATGGGGGAATCCTCTGCTGCTTCTACTATTATCATCAATTATTATTGTTACAATAATTTACCTTTGTCCCAGTGTGACTTAAGGTAGTTTATAACAATTCAAACAAGCATTTGTTCATGAAAATGAACAAAATCTGGCTACCAGTATTAAAAAAAACTCTAAAATTACAACAGCAAAACAACAGAAGGAAAATAATCTGGGACATCTAATCACCTCTCAACAAAAGATTGCTCCAGGCACTGCCAGGCCTTCAAATGCTAATCACGGTGATCAGTTGAAACATTCACACCTAGCTCCAGCAGACAAGAGTCCTTTGTCCCACCTTGGTCATTCCACAGATATATAAACCATTTTTCCTAGTTCCAACAGACCTCACTACCTCTGAGGATGCTTGCCATAGATGCAGGAGAAACGTCAGGAGAGAATGCCTCTAGAACATGGCCATATAGCCCGAAAAAACTTACAACAACCCAGTGATTCCAGCCATGAAAGCCTTCGACAATACAAGCATAGGTTGTTTCATAATTTAAAATGTAATTAAACTATCAAAACCTAAAACCTGTTAAAAATAGTGTTAAAAAGAGATCATGTGGTAAACCCAGCAAATTAAGCAAGACCCTTTTGCCCTATGCAAAAGGGTCTTGAGGTCCTAAGAGGTCTGTCAAAACAAAAGATGTTTATTTGCCTGTGGAAAGATAGCAAGGAGGGGGCCAGTCTTCTTGTTATGGGAGGGAGCCAGGGTTCAATAGACGAAGAAAAATCCCCCCTAACAGATCTCAAAAACAAGTCTTATTCATAAATTCCCAGTGCTGTCCTAGTGTAGTTCAAGTGCCAAAACCTCTTCATTTCCATCATTTTGTTACTGCATTATACCATATCATTTTAAATTAATATGAATATAGCAAATCGTCCAGAAAAGTCACTTCATTGGATGTAGCAGTCACGTGTGCTGTGCTACAGCATTAGGATTCTGCTGACTTAGTTTTAGAGGAAATGACTCCATAGCATTATTATAAAGTTCTTATCCCTGCCTTTATTAGTTTCTGAAGATTGTAATTGCTTGATGTTTTTGTAATTCGTATGCAGAAGATACTATGAATTTTGGTTTTTACAGAGCACATTCTTATTGAGAGAAATGGGCAGGTGTGCAGTCCTATTAGGAAAGAAGAAAAAATTGCTTTGCCTTGCTCATTTGCCTATGACAGAACCAAACACCAAGCTGGAGCATTTGCATGTAGAGTTAACAAGAAATCAGAAGCCAGTGGTTTGGGTGTCAACTCCAGTAGAGTTCAAACAGCAGAAGGCTGAACTTCTTAATGCTGCCCTTGCCTCTGAATTATGTTCAGATACTTAAATTACAGGCAGTCCCTGAGTTATGAACATCTGACTTATGAACAACTCATAGTTACGAATGGGTCTCTCCCCTCCCTCCCTGCCATGAAATCTTAGTGCTGAGCCAAAGTGAATCTGTATCCCTCCCCCTCCTTCTCCCATTTCTTCCTATCAATATCTCTCAAAATCCCTTTTCTATTTTCCTCTAAACAATCTCTCAAAACCCCCTTTCCCTTGTCTTCATATCCATCTCTCCAAACCCTTTTCTATTTTCTTCAAAACCATCTCTCCAAACCCTATTTCCCATTTCTTCCTGTCCATCTCTCCAAACAACGTTTGCGTTTTCTTGCTAATTATCTCTCCAAACCCCTTTTCCACTTTTTTCTTAACCATCACTCCAAACCTCCTTTCCCTTTTCTTCCCATCAGTCTCTCCAAACCACTTTCCCCATTCTTCCTATCAATCTCTCCACAACCTTTTCTTTTTGTTCCTATTGATATTTCCTTTGTCCTCTCCTCTCTTTTCCTTCACATCTCACGCCACTTTTAATTGCTTTGGCTCAATGCTATGCAATGCTGGGATTTGTAGTTTAGTGATGCAGCAGCATTCTTTGGTAGAGAAGGCTAAAGACCTAGTAAAACTACAGCTCCCATGACCGCATAGCAATGAACCAGGGCAGTTAATGTGGTGTCAAACTGCATTCATTCTACAGCATAAATACACCCCAAGGAAGCTAAGGCAGGATAAACAGAAGAGGCTCCTTGAGGGAAGGGTTGCTTCTTTCTATGGTTTTCCATTATTAGGAAGCTTTAGTGTTTTTAACAAAGGATTCTAATCACACAGGAACTATACTGTGCACTTTTTTTTGACCAAATTAGAAAGAGTGCACTTTTTTCTGGACCTGTTCTGACTTACATACAAATTCAACTTAAGAATAAACCTACAGAATCTATCTTGTTTGTAACCTTGGGACTGCCTGTACTGAATTATATTTGTGCTAAATAAGCAGGTGTCTTACTTCTACTAACTCAAGAACTGAAGTCAATTGACTTTATATCCCCAAATTGGCAAGCCCAAGCAGGCATTTTAAATGGCAGGCTACATAAGGCTGTATATGTTTGTACCAGACAAAATCTACTGGATTGTATTGAGGGTTGTGACCAGGGTTGCTCATCTGAGTGTGGTTGTAAGCATGGAAGGGAAGGCATCCATGGATTGGATAAAAATCCAGTAAGCGACCAGACATGGTTAGAAAACTTGAAAGCTATTTCACTTGTCCCATTTTCCTCAGTGCCTGAGGCAGGTGAGAATGGCTTCCAGTATTTCTACTTCCCATGAAACAAGTATCCGTAGAACAAGACATCGTTGTCTTGCATTTTTGAAAGCACCCTTTCATGGAAAGAACACATTACGTATGTACTATGGGGACATGGATCATCTGATGCAGAAAAAAGGCGTCAGATATTTTTAAAAGTACTGTGCCACCATCTCAAATTAATCTTTTGTGTTAAATGTTATGCAATTTCTTGACAGGTTTCACCGCCATAAGATCTCTATGAATGTCTGCCCTCCCATGTGTTTGCACTTTTGATCCCTCAATATGCTTGGAACCCCTTAGATCCCATGCTTCAGCATCCCAGGGTGGAGCATGGCAGTGCCAGACACGGTATTAATCACAGCTCTGCATGAGTACACAGGCTTTAAATATTTAATCATGTGAAATCCAGTGTGGGAAAACAATACCAGAAAGAACACTTTTGTTTCTGAGGAGGGTGGAAGGGTGAAAGAGGGATTTATCCTGTAGAATGCTCTGTGTGAACTGCCCTCAATACGCTGCTGTGTCTGCAGTCATGGAGGCACAGCAGCATATTGAGCAGCAATCTCTGCAATCTTGCACAGAGAAGAAGGGAGGTGATTGTCCATTTGCCTGGTATTGCATGACAACATGGTGATCACTAATGGAATTCAGTCTTGTTTCCCAATTTTGTTCTCTTCCAACCAAATTCATGATAGATAAAGGTTTATAATCCAGCAAGTTGTCATTGATTTGTCCAGAAAGCAAAAATTATTTAAGAAAGAAAAACTTGCTGAGGGCTGATGAGAAGTAAACAAGATCCCCAAGTGACTAATTCAATTAATATAGTTCTGAATAATTACATTCTCTTTGGGTTCTATTGAACAAAGAGGTAAGGGATGAAAATGTGTGTTCCTCCAATTATTGTTGGATTGCAGCTCCCATAATTCCTCAAGGTTGGCTATGCTGGTTGGGACTGATGAGAGTGGAGGTTCAGCAACATTGGGTGCTACTCAATTCACCTACCTTTACTTAGTCTATCCAAAAATGGTAGGAAATTCAGTACCAACCCATAGGATCAGGGCATGTAATTATCCAAGGGGGAGCCCTTGATAGTGCAATGGGTTCAACCTTTGTGCTGCCAGGACTGCTGACCGACAGGTCTGCTGTTTGAATCTGGGGAGAGGGTTGAGCTCCCTCTGTCAGCTCTAGCTCCCCATGCGGGAACATGGGAGAAGCCTCCCACATGGATGGTAAAATATCAAACATCCGAGCGTCCCCTGGGCAACTTTCTTGCAGATGGCCAATTCTCTCACACCAGAGACGACTTACAGTTCCTCAAGTCGCTCCTGACACAATAAAAATTATCCAGAGCTATATTGAATTTATCAGTCTTTCACAAGATTCCTCTGTACTTTCTCAAAATTACAATCTTTTGTTGTTCTAAACACTATTTTAAATGGTTTTAAACACTGTATTCTTGTTCTCAATGCAATTGGAGTTCAGCATTTTGGATCTGTTTAGGCAGCTGAACTCTCTGAGTTGGGTGGCATTTCTGAAATGCCAGGTTGGAAATTAGCAAACCAGAGCTTGAGTAACCAATACAGGGAGAGCACATAGCTCTCTAAGGAATGTCAGGGAGGAGGCGGTTGGGTCTCATTAGTGCAAGTATTTCTCTCTCTCCCCCCCCCTCCCCCCTATACTAATCCTCTGATTCTTTCTGTGCAGTCTGCCTGATCTTTGCAGTTTGCACATTTCTGGGCCAGTACTTCTCTCTGACACAAATAATACAGCTCTGTTATATAACATATTGTGTAGGGTTTGTTTTGGATAGTGTCCCAGGTCCTACCGTTTTGATTAGACTTGAGATGGGACTTCTGTTAGTGACAGGCTGAGCCATTCTACAGTAGATCTCAGCTATGCAATATTCCTTTAATACGGGTCAGAACTGTTGCTGAACGTTAATTTAAAATCAAAATGTTGTCATCAATCATTTATCACATTATTGCATTTCTTGGCATCCTCCATGTTCAGATATATGGTTCAAAGCTAAGACTTTGAATGCGGTTGGTGCAGTTTTCAATAATCTTGAAGGTATAAATTTCCATGGCAACGAGCAACATGCATAAATGAAATTCAAGATGTCTAAGAGCAAGATGGCTGTGCTTCAGTGTCATCATTATCAGTGTCATTTTGAGTGAAATGTAGAGGATAGGTTAGCCGGTGTATTTCTGTGATTGAGAAGTACACCCTATATACAGGAGAGAGAAGGTGCTCATAACTGAAGACCCTGTAGCACTCTACCCTACTTTAGGGGAACACTGCAACATGTCGATCGTGACCACACTTCCTTTAGCTCAGCCAAGAGTATCATTTCCCCTCGCATAACATGGAATTCTGTACATTTAATGTTTATCAGTATGAATTTACTTTTCAATACAGAGGTGGAAGCTGAAATTACTTTTGGAAAAATCATATTGAGAAAGGAGCAAGCTTTTTTTCTGCTGTTCTAGAGACTAGGAAACAGCAATGCATTCAAGCTGCAGAAAAAAGAGAATTGTCCTAAACATTAGGAAGATCTTCCTGACACTAAGAGCTGTTTGATTGGAATATGCTGCCTTGGAGGGTGATAGAGCCTCCTTTCCTGGAGGCTTTTAAGTAGAGTCTGGTTAGGTATCTGCAGGGACTGTTTTGATTGTGTCTTCCTGTGTGGCAGTATGGGATTGGACAAGGCGGTCCTTGTGGTCTCGTCCAACTCCAAAGAGTGTTGAAGTAGGAGTTGCTGATCTCAATACAAGAGCCAAACCTATCCCATGTTAAAATCCTTCACAAATTAAATTGTGGTGATGGGACTTCTTGCAATTTAAGTGAATTTCCAGCTGGGTAATCATTCTCTTCCTGCTTCTTTTCCTGCTATTTTAATACCCAGTGTTGTATAAGTGCCACCAGGTGGTGCTCTTCTTTCAATTCAAGAAGCTGAATCAGATATGCTGGCGCACAGAGCATATCAAGAGCATCTTGTTCATCCCCCTCCTTGTTTTGTAGCAAACCCTTATTAGCATCTCTGTGGCCTCGTGCCAAGACCCTGTAGCTGCAGTGGCAATTTCATTGTGCAGAAAAGAAATTCAAGTTCATAGAGTAGAACCTTCTCATTCAAAATTGAACTTCTTTGTTAAGCTGCTTCATAATGGGCAAGGTGCACCCTTCTGGAGGAGATATTCATATTGTATGCCAGTGATGGGGAATTGTGTGGTCCTCAGATAGTGCTGGAATACAGCTCCCATTGACTGTTATGCTTAGGGCTCTTTGGAGTTTTTTGGAGGATGACATGACACCCCCCCCCCCCCCCCCCCCCCCCCCCCCCCCCCCACACACACACACACACAAACTTTAGTTGTGGACTTTCTAGCTTTGCTTCAGCTAGCTGCTTCACTCTGTCTGCTGTTAGTATGCAACTCCCATAGTGAAGGGCTATGGGAGTTGCAGTGCAAAGAGTATTGAGAAGATGGTATGTTAGTTATCTTTGTCTTTGATCCTTGCCATCAGTTCACTATACAGCCCCTCCTAGGGAAAAGAATTTTCCAAAGACATGACAGTAAAACAGAAGGGCTTTATTTTCCTCAGAACAGGACATGACCAGAGTAGCATTTTATTTTGGTTGGTAGCATAAAGCCTATTCCCCTACTCATGGGGAATGGGCTAGGAAAGAGATGGAAAGCTAATGTGGTATTGGTGATGAAGTGGATCAGGGGTAAGTTCTGGTACACACAATTTGCTTCCACATTCTCTCTAACAAACTTTGTCTCTTGAATGTGGTGCAGCCAGATAAATCTCCCTGCTAACAGACAGAATTTGTGTGCAAGATATAAGGAAAGCATAGGCTGCCACTAAGTTGAAAGGACAGAGGTTTACTTTTCAACAAGGACTTGGACAATAACAATCCCCAGAGTATTGAAATGTGTTCTCACTCTGTTATCATAATGGGAATCCTCCAGTGTAGTAGTATTTGCTAGGCCAGATTAACTCTTAGTTCAGGGAATGGATTGGAGGTGGAAAGCATATTCAAGAGGAAGGACTGGACATTTAATGATGGGCTCTCCAATGAGCAGAGAGTCAAAGAGAAAATACCATTAATGCATTTGGATTCCCTCTGTCTCAGAAGACATTCGGATGGCTGTATCTGCCAATTCTGCTTTCTTCCACGTCTATTTTTAAACTCTGAAATTGTTACTGTTCAATTTACCAACATCCACATACATATTGGTAAGTTCAAATCCAAAACAGTATTTGTGTCCATTCAAATTCAATAGATGCAGCTATCCCCAATAAGTTGCATCTATCTGCAATGTAACTATTAAAGATGAGGAGCCTTGAATACACCAGGAGTAAATCCAAGACTTACTAAGGGACCTGCCAGGATAAGCAAATCTTGACAGTTTTGTTTTTCCCACTCAATATTTTAGTTATTTTCATCACAAGTTCTTCCACTTAATCTTTATTGAGAATCTGAGAATTTGGGAAAATTCTTATGAAGACCAAACCAAACTTATCTATCCTTGGCGTAGCCCCTAGCGCTGAACACTACAGAGATCTCTTCAGCAAGCCTCAGCAGGAAGCTGCGATTCCCACTCACCCCTGCCAAAAACCAAACAAAATTGAGAGGGGCGTTCAAAAAAGATTAGAGGCACAGATAGACAAGCGTAAATTCCCACCCTGCCCCGGTAGAACACCCTTGAGTATGGAAGTTGGAAAGAGCACGTTGTCCTTGCTTCTATTTTTTCTTGGGCATCTTCTCTTTTGTGATCATATCGGAAAACTCTGCAATGGAAAAAGCCAGTCAAAGTGAGCTGAGGGAACCAAGAGTCACTGCTTTAGGTAGTGATTCCCCAACCTTTGTCCTCCCCTGCCTTCCTTTTAATTAAGATAATAAATTGTTCTTATAGAGAGCCAGCATGGTGTAAAAGTTTGAGCACAGTACTATAGCTCTAGAGACCCATGTTTTGAATCCCTGCTGAGCCTTGGAAGCCCAGAACAAGTCATACTTTCAGTCCTAGAGAAAGTCAAAGGCAAAACTTCTCCGAACAAATCTTGTCAAGAAAACCTCTCAAAACAGCCATTAGTCAGAAATGACTTCAACGGGCGCCACAACTTTAGATTTCCCCTCGTCCTGGCTCATGAACCACAGGTTTCTCTTTGGCTTTGATACACTGCTCCAAACTTCTAACCCAAGAAGAGCCTACAGATAGAAGCTATTTTGGAGATATTTCTTTATTTTGGAAGACAGTCGCTCCAGTTGTGTGTGGATCCACACAGCTATCTTACCAAGTATATACAACTAGTTAAAGATTTCCCCATTTATCTAGCAGCTTATCTTAAAAGTTTACTCTCCCACATGCTTTCAAATATTAATCTGAACCTCTCATCTGAATTACATTGTGAGGATTAGGTGCAATGATCAGGCAGTAGCAAGAAGCCTGATACTATGTTCCCCCATATGTTCCTTTATTTTCAGACCTTCCTCTAAATACTGGAGAGAAGGGACTGACCTAAGTAGACCTGGCTAGTTCCAGATAGGATCACTGTATTTGCTCAAATTTAATGCTCACCATTTTTGGCTAAATTACCTTCTGAAAATTATGGTATTAGATCTGGTAATTTTAGTGCTGAGTCAAAGCAAAAGGGGAGGCTACTTCAGGAGCACCTAGAGGAATGTCATCTGTAATTTAATTGCCATGTCTCAATGCTATGCAATGCTGGGATTTGTAGTTTGATGAGGCATCAGCATCCTTTGGCAGCTCCCATGATATCAGACTACAGGCCCCATTACTCCATAGTATTGAGCCAGGGCAGTTAAAAGTGGATTCAGTGTACAGCATAGATGCACCTCAAGGTTTTATTTTTCATTGTTGGAAGCTTTGGTGTTCGAATACTTTGGTTTTTAAAAGAAGAAATTATAAGCTGGCATCAACTGTAATGAGCACTTTTTTTGGCCAAAGTACAAAGAATGCACTTTTTGCTGCTTCTCATTACATTTGACAGCAAATACTTTTTTTGGTATCAGGATTTTGAAAATTGAGGTGCGCATTAGATTTGAGTAAATGCAGGTAGTTGTTCCTAGGTCATTCTGCATTTCAGAGAGACAAGAGAACCAGTTCAAATAGCCGAAGAGCCTTTCATGATGCATTGTTTGCTCACCTTGAAAATCAATCCTCCCATCACCATCTGTGTCAGCTGCTTGGATCACGGCTTCAGCCTCTTCATCTGATAGGGGCCTCACTGGCATGTTGCTGGGGACTGTGGATAATATGTATCTGTGTGCAAGCAGGAGAAGAATGGTATCACAAAACAGAAGGAAATGTGGCTGAAGTTCTTCTTGAAGGAGAAAAAGCTGAGGAAATATACATGTGCTCAGGAAAAGGATTATGCCCAATGCATTTCAGGATAAATTCTCCATCAGCAGTATCATTGAATTACAATTATATGAAAATCCCAATTTCTACTTTTGTAAAACAGAAATTCAGCAGCTGTGTACAGACCAGCTTGAACATGTTGGTTCAAGGGTCTCCTTGGAGAAGGCTTTATTAAAAAATGTCCTGTCATAATAAAGCAACAACTTGCCTCTGACAAAAGAAGCCTTCCTGTCACATGGATGGGTTGCTCTATAACAGGCTTTCACAACCTGTAGTCCTCCAGGTATTTTGGACTTCAATTCCCAGAATTCCTGACAATTGGACAAGCTGGCTAGGAGTTCTGGGAGTTAGAGTCCCAAATACTTGGAGAATCACAGTTGTAAAGAGCACAGTCGGATAGGTGTAATATTAGTGGCAGCACGCATAGACAATTTGTAGCCTATGGTCTAATTGCAAATGGTCCTTTGGTGTAATTTCAAATGCCCTCAGCAAGGCATCAGTCTGATTCTCTGGCAAAAGCAATCTGTCCATCACCAGCTGACTAGAGACAAAGAAGAAGGAGAAGAGAGAAGAGGATAGTTTTTGGAGAGAGAAAGGGGTGGAAGGAAAGAAGACATGCTCCACTTTTGGCTCAGGCACCCCCACCAGCAACACAGATTCTCGGACAGATTGCAACTCTGTCCCTAGGGAGTGTAGCTATCCAGACTCCACCCTTGACCTTTATAACATGTCTAAGGAGTTTGTGTACAACTAAGGGAGATAAACAAGGAGGATGGCATTGCATGACACCTTGAGATCCTGGAATACAGACTGGGATATAAATATTTAAATACATAAAGTAGATTGTATCAACAGATTAAGTGAGCTGTACAGTGATTGGCAAGACATAGTTGCAAATGCAAGAGTAATTGTTCAATCCAGGGTTTCCCCAATTTTACATCTTGTGTCTGAATATCAGCAAGCCTAGAAATGTCTGGTTCCCGATGTGATTAAAGCAGTTGGTTTCTAAACTTTGGTTCTCCAGAAGTCTTGGACTTGAACTCCCAAGATTCCTGAAAATTGTTCAAGCTGCCCGGGGCTTCTTGGAGTTGAACTCCCATACAGCTGGAAGACCAAAGGTTGTGAATAACTGCTTTAAAATCTTAAGCAAATGATTCTTATTCTAGACATCCAAGAATCCTTTCCACATGAGATTCCATGGTGTGGAATCTGTCCCTGTTGTTCGTCATAGCAACTTAATGACAAATTTAATCTTACTTGATTTCATTCCACTCAATGAACCCACTGCCATCCTTGTCAAGCATCTGAAAGGCCTTTCGCAAGTTCTGCTCCCGTTCACTTGATGCCAGAAACTTTTGCATATACTCAAAGAATTTTGCATAGTTGAAGGAACCTATAAGAAAGAGAAGGAACATCTTTTAATGAAGAAGCCATTTTGGTGTATTGGTACTAGCTGGAGTTGCAGGACCTTAGATAAATTCAGTGAGTAAGCTCTGAGACCTCATATAGACAATTATATAAAGGAAACACTGAATTTGACAATGTGTGGGTGTGTGCAAGAGAGAAATCAGACATATATATGTGTGTGTAGCCAAATAATTACACAAAGTAAAGTACTTAGGGACTACCTAATTATCCGTCATGCAAAAGACGTATCCGAACGTATCTCGGCCTATCCGAACGTATCTCGGCCTATCAGCCCACCAGGACCCTAAGATCTTCTGGGGAGGCCCTGCTCTCTATCCCGCCTGCTTCACAGGTGCGGCTGGCGGGGACGAGAGAAAGGGCCTTTTCTGTGGTGGCCCCTCGGCTTTGGAACGCCCTTCCCATGGAGGTAAGATCAGCCCCCTCGCTGATGGTGTTTCGGAAAAGACTTAAGACCTGGATGTTCAAACAGGCATTTGGCTAATTCGGTACAATGAACTGATGACTAAAGGATTGGTAATATGGACGATGAAATTGGATTATGATTTTAGTTAAGAGATGCACTGGATTATTATCGACGGGCCAATATTGTCTATTGTGTATGTTGTTTTTAATGGTTTTAAACCGAATATTGTTGTTGTTGTACTGTTGTAAACCGCGTTGAGTCGCCAATTTAGGCTGAGAAACGGCGGTATACAAGCACAGTAATAAATAAATAAATAAATAAATAAATAATAAAAGAAGAACTGAAATCTGTGGTCCGACTGGATGCACTGCTGTGGAATCCAGAATAATTACACGTATATTTATGCTACATTCAAAGTATAAAGGAGCATGTCTAAAGTTTCAAGGATATTATTAGAAATACCGTATATTCCGGCATATAAGACGACTGGGCGTATAAGACGACCCCCAACTTTTCCAGTTAAAATATAGAGTTAAGACGACTCCCATGCATAAGACTACACCCGCGTATAAGACGACCCCTGACTTTTGAGAAGATTTTCTTGGGTTAAAAAGTAGTCTTATACGCCAGAATATACTGTAATGTGTTAAACAATGGGACCCTCCACTTTTGTGGAGGACAGGGGCACAGGATCTTCCTGAAAGTAGAAAAACCACAAATATGTTCACACACAAAAGTACTTTACCTGGTGGAATGGGTAGTCCCAGCCATATGTACCTTACCTCACATACTCATTATCTTGGATAACCAAGAGGAAGGAGATGGGGTAGGGGAGCAGATGGTGGTTAGATTGTTTGTACTAGTAGATCTCCAGAGTAGATGGACGGAGTGGGGAGAGGGGCAATGTGAGCACAGCTGGGCCTAGCCACCCTGCCAGCTTGATATGAATGCTGAATAAGCCTGACTTAACTAAGCACAGCTCAAGATGGACACCAGCATTATTGAAGACCCAGTTAAAAATGGTATAGAGCAAAAGCAGAAGCAGTGGCAAATAACATACAAATAATAAATTCTGTGAAGGTCATAACCACAAATGTGAAAAGACAACTGTACTTGTAATGTGTTACTTTAAGAGGCTGGAAAGTTTTGTCGTTGTTGTTTGGAATACAACCACATCCCTGGGAAATTTGATGAGTTGTAGTTTAAAAAGTACTTTTTCCAAGCAAGCTCTGGTAATTTTCAAGCTCTGTTTTTACCTGTTATTGGCTATAAACACATCACTAATTCTGTTCACTTAATTCCTTACCATGATGTCTCATTTCTGAAGGAAGCATATCAATATCCTTGTCTGACAGGGATGTCCCCATGGCCAAGGCCATCTTCTTGACCTGGCAGCTGAAGTCGTCCGCCATGTTGTGGTTACTTGCAAAAGAAATGGAATATAAGCCTAAGGGAATGTTGTATTGCTCTCACATCAGCAATGCCACTCAAGCTTCCCATTCGACCTATCTTAAACTCTCCTGAAAAACATTTGCAGCATACATGAAAAAATAAGCAGAGAAAGGAACAAAATGCCAGCATCTAAACAACATCAGATGGTTTTTAAGGATTGCTTCAAAGTATGATATGTTGGGTAACCCTTATCTGAAATGAATGGGACAAGAAGTATTCCATATTTTGGGATTTTTTTAGACTTTGGAATTCACTTATTTGTATTGGAATGGCTTGCACTGGGGTCATTTCATTACTCTTTGTAGGTATTGATGCATGCATCTTTATCCAGTCTTGTATCTAATTTGTTCACTACTTGTGATGTGTATGAAATGCAAAGCTGAGTGATCTGTGAAATAGTGGGATCTCAAAGTTGCCACTTCTGCCTTTAAGTGCTCCTGCTTGTTTATCTCTCAGATTCTTAGTATCTCTCTTTTTTTGCCACTAACCATCCACTTCCACTTGCAAGGAGGTGTCTGCGGTGCTCCTACTCATTTGTCTTTCAGACCTTCAGTTTCCTTTGTTTGATACTTGTGTTGTGTATGAGATATGAAGCTGGAAAGAGAGGCTGAGAATCTGAGAGATGAACAAGGAGTTTTGTTGTTGCTGCCCTAAAGGCAGAAGTGGGCAGCTAGCAGCAAAAAGGGAGAGACTAAGGATTTGAGAGATGAACGAACAGGAGTTTGGCCACCTTGAAGGTGGAAGCAAGTGCCTGGCTGTGAAAAATCTTCATAATATTTTTTATTAAAATTATATAATAAAGAATAACATTATATACATGCAACACACTAAATAAAATTGAAGCAGGGTAAAGTATAAAAGAAATGAAAGAAGGAAAAGGAGAAAATAAAGGGAGAAAGGGAAAAGAAGAAGAAAGAAAAAGTCAAAGTGACCCAATTTTTCTCACAGCTGCTATAACGAATTCTCGGTTAGGCCTCCTTCACTTTTGTTCGCCTCTATCTGCATTCTCTGAGAAGGATGAAGGAAAATGTAATTTTTGGGGAGCAGTAGGATCATTCCTGAACCACCACCTCTGCTTCTAGTCACATCTTTTCTTCTTTTTGCAAAAACTCTCATTGAGAAATATGGTTCTTTAGATTCAACCAGTGTGACGGCTATAGTGTACAGGTTGGCTGCATTTACTCAACCATCCTGAAATGATCAAGAAATCCCTTCCCTGGTCTCTGGAACAATTTTAGAACATTTTCCTTTTTAAAAATGTACAGGTTAATGAACAGAACAGAAAAGCATGAATTGACATGCAGTTTTTGATGTTGTTAATTGCCATCAAGCTGACTTTGACTTACTGTGACCTTATGAATGAGAGACCTGCAAGTCACCCTGTCACCAACAGCACAAAAGAAGAGGAAAAGCAATTGGACCCTCCAGRGCCTGTTCTTCCKCCTGTTCCACTTTGCAATGTGTTTCTGGTCCCTTTATTACCTTYCTTTCTTTGTGAGGTGAAAGAAAGGCTTGTGCCACACAGGAAGAGGAAAAGGCTTGAAGGAGTGTGCTTCTATCTACAGGATAAGTGAAGTGGCATCTGAGCCTTGCTCCTTCCCTCCCCCCCTGCYCCCCCCCCYCYSCMGCYMYKGGGGACTGCAGCCATGGCGGACTGAACTCCTCCAGAATTATTTCCAGTTTTTCCACTTTCAAGGAGGAACTGTGCYCCTAAACCAGTGGTTCTCAACCTGGGGTACCCAGATGTTTTTGGCCTACAACTCTCAGAAATCCCAGCCGGTTTACCAGCTGCTAGGATTTCTGGGAGTTAAAGGCCAAAAACATCTGGGGACCCCAGGTTGAGAACCACTGCCCTAAACCTTGCAAAAATGGAGGGATGATGGTAAGTAGCTGAGATCCTTCATCAGAGACTGTGATGCAGACCTTTAGGATGATAGAGATACTTTGCGGAAGCGATATGCAAGAATGCTAGTGACTTGCAATGGTGTGCAGTGGGGCAGCACACAAGATGTCCCATTGCATAACAGGGGCTCCCATTGTACAATAAATCCTATTGCACAACATGCCCCACTATGCCATTGTAAACTAATAAACTCTTGCTCTGTTTTACATTTATCTGATTTATTGTTCTCTAATTCTTTTTTCTTTCTCTAATCTTGGTTAGGACCTCTAGCTGTATTTGTTTTCCCCTTTAAACCATATAGTGTTTTGTTGAATTAATAAGCTTCTTATTAGTGCTTTTCCAGCATCCCAAACAATTCTTTCAACCATATAATCCTTTAGGTTGTGTATTCCCACTCAATTTTTTTCTTTAATTTTGGGGTTCTTCAAGATGTAGTTGCTGCAAGAATAACAATAACAAAATCTTGGAAAGGGGGAAAAGTTACTTTTAAAGGACTGGAGAGAAAAATATTAAGAGTATATCCAAATGGCCAAGTTCTCCAGTGTCATTTGGGGAGGAAGTAATGAAGATTTTTTAAGGAACTGGATGCTTGCATTTGGATATTTAGAAAGGAAGACAAAAGTAGACTTTAAAGTAGCTGCAAGGGGAATTTATTAGTGTACAGTTAAGAGTAGGTTTTTCTGAGATAGTAGTTTCATATTGAGTGGTGCCAGACATCATGCGTCGTGGTCCACAAGTGGGGGAAGGGGTGGGGGATTCGGTGGAATGACATAACTGTATTATGTGTATTTGACTTTTTTTTGTTTCTTTTACATTCTGCATGTCATTAATATGCTTAATTTAAAACTGATTTTTTTAAAAAAACATGTCCCATTATGCACTGTAACACATTGTGAAATGGTCATGCTGTTGGCTCCATTTGTGCAATGATATGATATCTCTGCTTCCTTCCTAGGAATATGAGCATTGTTTAGTATCGCAGTTCACTTTTGCATGATCTAAGTTTGCATGTAAGTCAGCATATGATGATGTAAATACGTAACAAGATGTCAGGCAACATCTATATTTCACTGGGGAAATGAGACAAGACTGGTAGCTGGGCCATGTTTGTCATCCTTCAACTGAGGGAGATTATGCACACCCTCTTTTTATATCATGACTGTCTTCACAGTGTCTGTTTTTAAATCCTTTAGGAGAGATGCTGAAACCTGAAGCCTGATTACTTAAAGGCACACACTAACCAGTTTTTTGAAATCTTCCCCTGAAGACAAAATAGAAACAGATGATGACCAAGGAGAGGTTTCAGAAAATTGGAATTCTCTTTGGCAACTAGGACAATGGAGCACATTTGGATCCATAGTTTAAAAAAGGAAGTTAACATCTAATGGGATTGTTTGGACATCATAAACTATAGCTTGGTATTAACAAAAAAGCTCCTATGCACTGCCCCACCAGTGCATTCATAAATGGAATTTGGAAATGTTTGCTTCCATTCTGGATTAATAACTGCTTCCTGTGTTTCAAACTTGGACAAACTGGTGAAGCTCAACTGCAATTACTGGAATCAAATTAATGTCAGTCCATAGCTGGCTTGTTTTTAATAACCGTACTTACTCACAGTTGAGAGTTTGGACATTGTCCAAACCTGATATGACTCTAGATAGGAAGTTTCTGATTTTATCTTCACAGTTGCACTAGAGGACAAAGGGGAGCAGAAGAGCCCAAGGATGCCTGACACTCATTTTCATTGTGCTAAACCGTAGTTCAGCCTTACATAAGAACTTGTCCACTGCCACACAGAGAAGCAAGAAAGAAGCTCTGGAGGCAGCTTTATGTCTGCATGGCGTTTCTATAGACTACTCAAGAAAAATATATAATCAAATCAGTCCATCATTTAGTCACATTGTTTAACTTCTGCCATTGCTAGGGACAATTAAGAAGCATATGCCTGAAATGATGCAGAGTTAGGATTGCCTCCAGGCATTTAAGATCCCGTGTTTGAGGCCTGTCTATATAGTCACTATGTCTAGTCACTAGGCCTATTAGCTTCATTTCCTGTGAGAAAAGGAGTACCTATCTATGGCCCAATTCCAAAATCCTTAACCCTCAGGGAAATTCCTTTAGGCGATAATACAGACATCTGTGGTTGAATTCAGTCCCGCATAGTGAGAGTGTGCTATTTACTGAGATTATCTTCAATTTAATCCGAGGGAAGGAAGCTTTCGATTGCTTGCTAAAACCACAGGCAGATTTCAAATTCCAGTAAATCCTGTTGCACTGAGCTAGCTGCTCATCTTGCCAATCGAGCCATCCGGGCTCATTCTCTTTGGCTCTTTACCCATCGCTGCCAGCCAGGCGTCTGCCAGCTGAGCTTAACTCCTGGGTGAGTCACCCTCACTTCCCAAACCCTGCATTGTACACTTCATTTAACAAATGCGAAATGCCGGATTACAAAGGAACATGAGTGATCAAAGTGGAGACTGGTGGTGCATTTGTTGAAAAGAAGATGAGAGATAATGCCAGCTCGCATCTCGGTTGTAAGACCAGGAATCTAGAAGGCCTGTTCCAGAGATATTTCCTGCTGTAGCAACCAATGAATGAGGTAAGAGTGGGAAAGTGCTAGTACTTGATAACATGTGCTGGTGTGTTGCAGGAAGGGTTTTTTTAAAAGCTGAGAATACATTTTGTGATAGCAGAGCATCATAGAGAGGCTTCATTTTTGTTTTTCTTCCAAGTGAAATGATGGGGAAAACATTCTGCCACATCTCTAGGAGATTCTCCAGAGGACAGAAAAATTGAATGCAGTTCACAGGCTGCCAGTTGGCTATGCCATTCCTAAATTGCTGTCAGATTATATTAAGGTATATCAGATAAACCAGGCTGTAAGCATTAGGAAAAACATTGAAGAGGTTTTGTTGAATTCAGCAAGGAAGACTGACATTAAGTTTGGATGAATCCTGCAAATGACCAAAGCATGTTGCCATTTCTCAAAATTCCCCTTATGGATTGCGGAAAGCTATTCCATGGTTTTAAAAGGTAGGTAAAGGTTGTCCCCTGACATTAAGTCCAGTCGTGTCTGACTCTGGGGGTTGGTGCTCATCTCCATTTCTAAGCTGAAGAGCCGGTGTTGTCCGTAGACACCCCCAAGGTCATGTGGCCAGCATGACTGCATGGAGCACCGTTACCTTCCCGCTGGACCGGTACCTATTAATCTACTCACATTTGTATGTTTTCGAACTGCTAGGTTGGCAGAAACTGAGGCTGACAGCAGAAGCTCACTCCACTCCCCGAATTTGATCCGGTCAACAATTCCTGTTCCCGCTTGCAGAAACAAAATTTGAATTACATACTGCTTGAAATGTGTCATGTCCTAAAGGATAGGTAAAACATTCTGGGTATATATAGTCATCATTTTTGTAAGGTGGCAGCATTCTCAGTGTAGACACACAATTGGCAGGCATAATCGTCCAGGAATGGGCAAGATAGGAAAGCTGAATCAAATTTGATATGACATAGGACTTCTCTAAGCAGAATTTGTTTTACATCATCCACCAAATTCTTATGAGAACAAACTGTCAAACTGCCCCTGGTGGCGCAATGGATTAAACCCCTGTGCCGGTAATACTGAAGACCGACAGGTCGGAGGTTCGAATCCGGGAACAGCACAGATGAGGTCCCTCTATCAGCTCCAGTTCTCCATGTGAGGACATGAGAGAAGCCTCCCACAAGGATGGTAAAACATCAATACATCCAGGCATCCCCTGGGTGCCGTCCTTGCAGATGGCCAATTCTCTCACACCAAAGTGACTTGCAGTTTCTCAAGTCGCTCCTGACACAATAAAAAAAATCAGTTTTTGAAGAAATCCTACAGAGATTACTAATGCTGCTAGGACACAAAGGGAGTTATGGTTGACTGCAGGCATCTTGCTATTTCTGCAAAAAGGGATTAGCATACTGTACTAGAGGCTGCCTGAACACAGCTGGGTGAGAGACAGATCCCCATCAAGCACAGGTTTGGAAGTAGGAAGGCAGAAAATCCAGGAACACAGCCTGGCAACCAAATGAGACTGGTGTCAGAGGTTGCCAGTCTAGAACGGACAAGACGGCTGTCCTGTGCTGAAGTGTCCCCAAATGCAGATAGTTCCTGTGGTTGATGACCTTTCCCTCAGCATGAGCTCCTCTCAAATCCATTGCGTGCAAAGGTTACTGAAACCTCTAATGCCCGTCCCAATCCCCTAAATATGTGGTGCTCTGTGATAGTGATATAATTGGAGATTAGCAGAGTAAACAAACAGCTCCCGGTACAATTGTCACTCTATTGCTCTCCTACAGGCTCTGTCCTAGGTACTCTTTCCCAGTACAAACAATCTCTTCAGATGTTAAGCAAACAAGAAACAGAGAGGTGACCAAAATGGCTCTGCAATACTGCAGAGAGCAAACCTTAGATGTGATTTCCTGTAGCCACCAGGAGCAATGCATCCTTTCTGGTCATGAGCCAGAACTCTGAAATAGTGAGCATACAGGTATTTTCTTCCTACTTATTAGTTGGGTGCACCTCTGGCCTCTGTCAAATCCTCTGCTACCTTATCAGGCCCATTTACACTGCCACATAATGCAGTTGCAGAATGCAGTTTAACTGCATTAAACTACATTATATGGCGGTATGGATAGGGGCCTCATTGAAAAGCAGGGCTAGGAGGCCAATTTGAAGTCTGCAAAAAAGATTTCAGCCTCCTCAGTCCTCTTTCTTTAAGCTCAAGAAACTGCATCTTGGCACCCACTGTTTCCTGCTGTGAAAGTTGTTTATTTCTGAGACTTGGCTGGTACTGGGGTGAAAGCTACCCCTCTTATTCTGCTTCTTGACCCTTCCATTCCTGCCTCTTAGGGACTCTTATATTTGCAACACAACGTCTTGTGATGTGAACTAGGTCTAGGATTACACTCCTTCTAAATAACTCAGTTTTCCCAACGGACACTCTGTTCTGTCAGATTCTGTGTGCCAAGCATTTATTTAGAAAAGGACAGCACCATTCTCCTTCTCCCTCAGCTTTTGGGCTTTTGGAGAGAGCAGCCATTTTCATATAAGAAAACGGTTTGTGAAGCAGCCCATGTGAAGGTCTGTCGTCCATGTGAAGGCCCACGTGAAGGCCTGTTGCAGCCTTACTCTTTCTTCTGCCCCATATTTGCACAAAAATCTCTCTACAAGGACTGGCTATCAAGTGAACTGCATGGTCAGATGTGTTGTTCCATCAAATATGACTTCCCATGGAACTAAGACAATCTCAGTCCAGTGTGCCCTCACCTCTGCCAGGTATCTATGAATTCCTCCTTCCTTTGCCTATCAATCTGGGTTTATAGCCTCCAATGGTAGTATAGTCTTGTTGCTTTAGTTAGCTGAGTAAAGGACTTGGTAGGTCTGCAATGAGGCAACACTTGCCCCTTAGTCAATTTGTACATTGTAACATTTTTTTAAGGGCCCATCATCCAACCTTATTTCAGTTTTCTTTAGCACTTTAGCAATCATATTTTAAAACATCAACATTTTGTCAACATACCATCTCCCAAAGCTCTTTCAGAGGCAGTATCACAATTTATGTTCCCAATAAAAATAAAATAGCATTCTCACCCCCCTCGCCAGCACTGATTTATTCTCTGCCTTAATTAAAAAGCTGCACTTAACAAACTGTTGGCGATGAATAGTTGTTTAGCAGTAATAGGCTACAGCAAGGGCAGAGCATGAGTTCTGAATCTACAGGTATATTCCAGATTTCTTCTAGATGGCTGAACATAAACTCCCATCATCTATAGTCAGGACAAATACAATGATGGGACTATATTCTAATATATTTGGAGGGCACTGGAGTAAGAAATCTGTAAACCAAAAGTAACTGGAGTGAGAAATCCGTAAACCAAAAGTAAGGCATATACTTTCCAGCTCCAAAGAAAACAAATCAGAAGCTGAGGATGAATCAGCCATTGCCCTCCTTCTCACAGCAATAATTTCTGCTATACTGCAAAATTCGGCCAACAATTTCAACAAAGGGCACTTGATTCCTTTTGCTTGAAATGCTCAAGGATCCTATTGTACAACTTGTCAATGAGGAGCACAAACAAAAGCTTTTGCCCATTCCCCTTTTTTGCCAATAGAACATAATTCTGCTGAATTTATTTATTAAACTCTTCAGCTTTTCTTCTTCTTCTCAGATCTAGGATGGCTGGTTTCTGGTTTGCCTTCCCCAGTTGCACACAGTCTCCCCTTTGAACTGATTAGCAGGTCTTCTGAGTAGGAATCTAATGCTCTGGGGAGAGCTTCACAAGTCAATTCTTCTCTGATTGTATGCGTCTTCTGTGGCTACCATATCAATCAATGAGCTTGTCTTTCCCTAATCACTGAATAGCCACAGCAAGTACTCACCTGCCACAGTTTTCCTCAGCTCAAGTCTTGGCAAGAGTCTTTTTTGAAAAGTTAAACCATGTCCCTGGCTTTTATAGGAACAGGTCGCTTTGCTCAGCTTTACTATTTATGGAGAGGTGCACCTGTTGAGGATGCAACTCTGTAATTCTCTTGGGTCCTTTCGAGACGTGGGTGTGATATTATCAGTTGTCACCGGCAAGTGGACGCTCAGCATCATGTATCATGTTGGGCAAGGGGAAAATCTACAGAGCATGCTCCACACCACACAAACAAGTACACAACCATGCAGAAAGTTCAACTATATTCCAGTGCCATAAGGCAAAGGGCCTGTGCTGCCTCAAGGGCCAGTTGCCTCTGGTTGCCACCAATTCCCCAACCAGCTATTCACAAAAACCAGGACAGCATTGTGGCAAGGAAAGTAGATGAGCTTTTTTGTGTTCTCCTGGGACAGACTAAGCCTTTTGCCTTTTGTCACTCTATTCAGAAGAGGGGTGCTTCTTTTTTGATAAATGTACAATCTTTACAAAGAACTCTGGAGGAGTTGACTCAGGTTTTTAATTAAACTTTCTAGACACATACGTTAATATATGCAGTAAATCAACAAAAGTAAGGTCAATATAATTATTGCCTCATGTTTAAAAAAGGACGGTTAAAACAATAGCAATATAGTGATAAAACTCCCAGATACAAATGGACTGAAAATAAACTACAGTATACATTCATCAAATCCTCATGTATCAGTTTCCTTTAACCTAAGGAGCTGTCTTAATGATTCTTTCTCAGTTTTACCTTCATCATCCTAGCATGGTTCATTTTCTTTGTGTAGCTGCAATTCTTCACAATATATATAAATTATGATTGTGGACAATGATGATGATGAAGAAGAAGAAGATGATGACTGGAAAAATCATCTAGGCTAGGGCATCTTGTTATTATTAGCTGCAATGAATAGCTGATGTGATAATTATTTTCGCTTATAAAATATATAAAATCTTTATTCAAAATGTATCCGAAGCAGCACCCAATCAAAGATAAAAAGCAAGTTGCAAGTGCATCAGTTAGAACAATTTAATATCACACAAGGAGCAAAGTGGCACAATGGGTAAAACCTTGGTGCTGACTGAACTGCTGATCTGAAGGTTGGCATTTCAAATCCGTGAGACGGGGTTTGCTCCAGCTTCCCATGTGGGAACATGAGAGAAGCCTCCCACAGGATGGTAAAACATCCAGGCACTCTCTGGGCAATGTCCTTGCAGATGGCCAATTCTCTCACACCAGAAGCGACTTGCAATTTCTCCACCATAAAACCTTTATGACACCATAAAACCTTCCAGCAGTGTGCATAAGAATGATGAAGTACTCCATCAAAGACTCTGTGTCACAAGTGGACGGTGAAGCAGCAGCTCCCTTTGTGGCTGGAATTGAGCATACCCTCATGAAGCTGGAAAAAGCTAGAATGTTAAATTGCCTCCTTATCTGTCTATATATGTTTTATGTCTAAATGGTGATGAATGTTTGCCATGTATATGTGCATTGTAATCTGCCCTGAGTCCCCTGCAGGGTGAGAAGGGCGGAATATAAATACTGCAAATAAATAAATAAATAATAAGTTGTTTCTGACATGGAAAAAAATATCACACATATATGCATACTTGGATAAAATCCAATCAAGCTTTAGTAAACAGCCATGCTTTGATTTGGCATTGGAATAAGGAGCCAGTTGGGCCTCTATAGGGAAAAAAGCCCTTTCCAATGTGCTCTCATAATGTATTTTCTTGACTGGTAGGATACAGAACAGACCTCCCCAGCAAAGCTCAGGCATAAAAAGTATATAGAGGGCATCTAAACAATATTTAATAATATACAAAAGGTATCAATGATGCCCAATAAATAGTAGCAACACACACTAAAAGCTGCTGTGATAAAAAGGCCAAATAAAAGGGTATTATGGAGTACTCTTTTCTGAGTTGGACATTGTTTGATGCCACATATTTGCTCATCAACTGGATGAGTCCACACATGTACATTCAATGGCAAATGTGCATCACATGCTATAGAAAGATTTTCCTCAGAGCTTCACATCATTCCATTGCAATACTCTTCAGAAGATGCAATTCAGCTGCATGGTATTGAAACAGTGAGCATGATGGCAAACCAAACCTTAGATACCCAAGGTTTTAAAGAAAACCACTGGCAAAAATGGAACAACACCTTCAGGGATTCTCATCCTTCTTCTCCCATATATTCCTTCACTAGATATCCACAACATTATTTTTAGTTCACAGCTGAAGCCACCTTCCTTTCTCTGACAACAGCAGTCTTCTTGCTTTGTCCATAAGTCAACTAAAAGGGAGTCGTTATTTTAGCAGAAGGTGCATTTTGTTGCTGCTGGGTCATGGGAAGGTCAGCACATGAAGGCCAGAGACTGTCATAGCATTGTCAGAACTAGAGACTCTTGTGAAAATGGAGACAAGGGCTTCCATTGAGGCTAGGTGCATCTTCCTACAACATAGCCTTATTCTCGGTCATGAATACCCTGTTGACAAAACAGCTGTGATGCAACTCTATCTAAAATGTTATTTCTTTAGCAATGCAATACATAGCTGGTGAACTGATTCATATATTGGCTAGGAGACTCATCAGGCTCCGCGTGCTTCATTCTCCGGCAAATCAAAGCTTCAGAAGTTACTACTAAAAAAAATTTGTTTAAATATTTGAAAAGATGTCATATTGAAGATGGAGCAGACTTGTTTTATGCTGCTCTAGAGACTAGAACATAAAGCTACAGGTTCAAAATGTAGGAAAATAAATTCTATCTTAAAATTAGGAAGTATTCTTTGGTAAGAGCTGTTCAAATATGCTGACTTTGGTGTGTTCCTGCATGGCAGAATGGGGTTGGACTGTATGGGTCTTCAAAATAACTATTTTTTGTTTTTTGAAAAAGTAAAAAAAAAAATCCCACCTTATTTGCAATTACTCCCCCCCCCCAAAAAACCCCTGCAGTGGTGTTATTCGAATTTTTATAAACATAATTAACTACTTTCCAATCTCTCAATCCATTCCATATGAGAAAAGCTTCTCTTGGAAGATGGGACCTTCTAAATGGAAGAGGGAAAAATAACTATAAGGTTTATGATACAGATGCCACAGGTAGGTTTGTTTAATCCCATTTTTTTCATGTCAGAAGCGACTTGAGAAACTGCAAGTTGCTCCTGGTGTGAGAGAATTGGCTGTCTGCAAGGACATTGTCCAGTGGACACCCAGATGTTTTGACGGTTTACCATCCTGTGGGAGGCTTCTCTCATGTCCTCATATGGGGAGCTGGAGCTGACTGAAGGAGCTCACCCACTCTCCCTGGATGCGAACCTCCAACCTGTCGGTCAGCAGTCCTGCCGGCACAAGGGTTTAATCCATTGCATCACCGGGGGCTCCTAATCCCATGATGAGCATCCACATTGGGTCAGATCTATTTCACCCTGGCATGTTATGGGTCAAGACATATTCCCTTGGGGAGATAGGGTGGAATATAAATAAAGTCTTCTTCTTCTTGGGTTTAATCAGGATAGGCTCTGATTTCAAGGAAGCTTCTTTGGGCTGGAAGCGCAGTCAAACTGTGCCAGTACATCACTGGCTCTGTAATAACAAGAACAACATAGCGACATAAAGGGGGCCCTTGGTGTTTGGAAGTACCTCAGGGTCCTAGCTACCTTAATCCAACCTTGTTTCTACCTTCATCTAACAAATACAATTTGATGACAAGATTGCATTTATTATTCTACATTTCTACTTTGCAAGAGTCAGATATATCCAACATTCTGAGTATATTTTTGTTCTTTGTTATTATGGACCTACTGGATAAACGATGGTTGCAATTATAATTATTACACAGTGTAATCTGTTGTTTATTTTCCTACTGTTTACACACAATTCTGAATATGCATTTTATCTTCTTTTTTGAAGCAGTCGTACCCTGCTGGTTTAAGGGCATCTTTCTTCCATGTTGGCAATTTGCTTTTGCTCTGATTGGTTTCACCTAAAATGTTACAAATGTTAATTTTGTTCAGAGAGTGTGTCTTTTTTCATTAAAAGATACCATTAGAAATTTGGATAAGTAAGATTTAGTTTTACAGATGCCGAATTGCAAGATCAAAGCAAAGCTCTTTGCTTAGAGCTAAACTTCTCTGGAGGCTGATTAACATTAATGTAGAGAGACCTGCAAGTGGGTTAAAATTAATATGTGCCTTTCTCACTCCTCTGTTTCTTCTTCTTCGCCCTCCTTTGCTTCTGGATACTGATCCCAGTCTACAAAGATGGCATATTTCATGATTAGTATGATTACAGAGTGGATATTATGTGATTCATGGATGTCTTAAGGCACTTCTGAATGTTTGTACTGCGATGAGACTCACTCCTCACCATAATTTCTGGTTTTCAGCTCCATCATCAATATTCAAAACTAAGTATTTGTGTGATCTATGAAAATATTGTATGACTGTTGTGCAACAATATGCATCTATCTACTAGGAATCCTAAAATGGCAAAATCAAAGATGACAAAGTATTTTCAGACCATGGGTGTGAAATTTATGGATGCCAAATCTATCAATATGGAGGGACAATTTTACTTCACTCCATCCCCTTCTTTTTGCCTGCTTGTGGTCTCCAAGCACACATGTATGCCTTGCTTTGAACAATGACTAAAGAAGCAGCCACAGGATTTGACACATCTCCACCATATTAGATGGATTTTCAGAGTAGCTGGCTCCCAAGAGTCCCTTCCAGGCACGAAGTGTCATGTTCTAACAAACAATGATTCCTGGAGGGGGTTGCTCTCCTTGGTAAAACTGACACTCAACATGACTGGAAGTCTGAACAGTTTGAGGGTAAGCCTCATGTTTCTCTTTAGTGTCACTACCGTGCATCTGCAAAGTAAGATTAAGAGATATCCACAGTTGGTAGGTGCTGAGCTCACCATGCTGTTAACAGCTGGATGCTTTGCAATTCCACTTCTCAGCATCAGGAGCTACCTTGGTTTTTTTAAAATCATCTCTGTGGGATTCTTGGCTCTTATCAGTTCAAACCTCTGTCTCACATTCCCAGCAGGTGGC